AAGACCACCAGGTTTGTGTCTCAGCTGTGGCCAAAATTGTCGTGGAAATTATATTCCTGGTGAGGGTCTGAGCAAATACTCGAGTTACAACAAACCGTTGTCTTTGAAGAATTTATTTAACAAAAGACAATAAACAGAGAAGTACTACAACACAAATCAGCTGGACCAGAGGTTCTGTCTCCTAAGACAGTCCCTAACGTCTGGCTGGAGTGACGTATGATGATAATGATGGTGATTAAGACAGGAACATTTTATCTTATCTTTATGCTGATCTTGTGGAAGTCCAGCTTGATTTGATTTTCTCATCGCTGTGTTTATCTTAGTCATTGTGGCCCATACTCTTTGGCAACCTTATCCAAACTGAATTGACCATTGTACACAGATAACTGGCTAAATGAGATAATGTGAGATCACGTACAGTGTGCAGTATCTCCACCACAGCTACATCTGAGTATAGTAAAAAAAAAGAGTAAATAATCTTGAAAATGGTTTGTTTTGGAATGAGACTGCATTCATCACTTTGCACTGATATTTAAAAATATATATATTTTAAAGGGGGACTGTGTAAGTCTTTCTGAACATTTATTGGTTAATAGTGAATGCAAAACTACTGTTCAGCATTTAGCTAAATTGCTAATAGTCATAATGTCAGCAAACTCTAACAGTAATGTCTGTATACAGTAATATTTACATAAACATTAGCCTCCATCAGCAACAGGTCATACCAGATCAAGTAAGGTTGCATCAGCAAAACCCCTTAGTGTGTTGAGCATGGGTTGCTTTTAGTGCTTATGAACTTTTCATTTGTAAGAGGAAGATTGATATTCTTTTTTCCCTAAAAAAGCTACACAGTCTTACTTTAAGGGTTGTCCAAAGCCATTCTGGGAATAGCAGAAATAGATGAGCATTGCATTTCACCTTAAAATGTAATGAAAGAGAGTCAATAAGTTACAACAACAGATTACGTATGATTGTGATGTTTGTTATTCCGCAGGCCCCACAAAGAGAAACCCAGGGCCCCGCAGCCAGCAGGACCTAGCAAAGTAGTCCAGTCCTCTCCTCTGCAGCACTCATTTCTCACAGATGTCTCAGACGTGAGAGAGATGGAGGGAGGCCTCCTCAACCTTCTCAACGACTTCCACTCAGGCAAACTACAGGCTTTTGGTAAGATAACTCTGATTAGAGAGGCCACCAAGGGAGTATTCTGTTACGGGCTGAAAATAAAGCCAGTTGAAAAGTGGCTTTATTTGATGATTCAGACTGAAATCAAATAGCTGTGGTGCTATTTTTACACACCTGGTGCCATGGAAATACATTTGACTTTAACCAAATGAGATGACACTTTGTGCCTCAGAAGTGACCCCTGTCTGGTTGAACTCTAGGTAAGGTGTGCTCCTTCGAGCAGTTGGAGCATGTGCGCGAGATGCAGGAGAAGCTGGCACGGCTGCACTTCAGCCTCGACAGCCACGTGGAGGAGCTTTCGGAGGACCAGAGGAAGTGCGCCTCCGACCACAACCTGGAGCACCTGCTCTGTAACGTAAGCACAAACCACGGCAGCACAGGGTCATCCTCATCTGTGTTTTTGAGAGATGCATAATCTCAGTTTTCACCAGATCATAAACCTTTTTCAGATTTCACTTTTTCCATGCAAGAAATCCGTGCGAGGTTCATGATCGTTGCTGCCATGGTGTCACAAGTTACTGAAACTGCATCATGTGACACTACAGCTCTCCACTGAAAGTCTACTCTAGTTTAGTTATGTTAGCAGTTCCTTAGCGCAGAGTGAGGCAGGTTTCACTTTGGGTTTTATAAAAAGCCTGAGGCTATGGAGTAAAGTACTTGCACATAGCACTGTTTTCTCCAGTGAGACATTTTAACTACAAATAACAAGCTGACAGGCAAACCTCTGTTATAGGTCCAATGTCTTGAATGAATGAAGGCATGCAGTTTGATAGATTATAATACGTGTATTTCATTTTATAGCTGTGACCTTATAGCAGCGTACCAGAATGCATTTTCCACACATTGAGTACATCCAATTATTTATCGCTTAAAAACAATATCAAACCGGGAGTGAATTCAGTTATAAGGTCACGGGAGCACCCAAATTTAGTTATTAACTGCCAAGTGTCACAGACTATTTCTGCTGCTCTGAGGCTCAGGAGAGGTGAGGCATTTATCACACGTATGCAGTGTTAATGGGTCGAGCTCACGACATGCAGTCTGTTGTATGCACCAAACCTATTAAAAAAATACAATAGAGTAACGACAGTCTGAGGTTAATCATATAGCAACGTTAACATTGTCGTATGCTTTGCTGGGTTTTTAATATGTTTAAATGTTAAATATTATTCAGCAGACAGTGATAGTGCAGTCCAAGAATGCCTTGAAAGCGTTTCTATTGTTAGCGTGTTTGTGTGTGGCTCCTGGTTACCCACGCCTCAGGCTGGTATGCTGGCTGTGGGGAAGCTGCAGTGTTGTGCGTGTGAGAGGGAGGTGAGGAAAAAGGCTTCAGCTCATTACAGATTCTGCTGCCAGGAATACTTGCTAGCTGTAGCAGCAGTAGGTAATTGTGCCTCAGAGCAGATGGGCTGTGAAGTGACTGTGATTTGTGTGGATAAGCAGGGAAGTTTTCCATTTGCTTTTGTAAACAATGTTATCGGATATTGACCTGACACACAGGCTGTTATGTAATATGATCACATTTAGTGGTTAGTCCCTTGTGCTGCCACATCAGTTTCTATTTTAGGCTGTTTTTGTAAATGATACACCTCTCATCCATTTGTTCATTTGTCCCTGCAGCTGGAGGAGCTCAGCACCTCAATGTATCCTTTCCCAAATGTTAATTTATGGGAATCAGCCGGCACTCTGGGGCGCAGACACTGGTTTTAAATAATCTGTTTTCAGTTCAACCACCTTCTGTGTGAATCCTTAATGTGTCCGCATTCAGACAAAAGCTCCACTTGGCTGAGAACCAGGACCTGCCCAAGACATCTGGTCCCTGACAAAGTGAGGTGCGGAGGATGGCGACCACACACATCTTCTCCCACCATCTAACCAGTCCAGGTTGCCATGGCATTAATCCGGCTGCCTTAATAAGGGAATGGAAAGATCCACAGGAGGAGGGGCCATTTTTCCATTTGGTCAGCGAAGCCGAGGGAACAATACAGTGACTCGAAGCAGCAGAGCATTAAATGAACACTCAAACCAAAATCATAAACCCCCCACCCTCAATCATGGCACAAGAAATGATCAGAGGCTTTACTGAACAGCTTTGTTAGAGGACATATGTTGTTTTAAAGTTTTCAGCATGGCCTTGGCTCCTGTTATTAGTTACATCATTTGGTCACAAATAACTGAATCCAGGTGTAGTCTTTGGTTCTCTATAGATTTGTGTTCACAAAAAAGTGCATTTCATGATAGTTTAAGAATTTGTATGATATTTAAGTCATGCCTCGTCATTTCCATAGTTTCAGAAGCTATTTGTCTCTGTTAGCAAAGCTAAGGATTGGCCATAGTATGCATACAATTTTGCCCTTATCGACAACACCACTGTGGTTAACTCAGAACTTTAAAAGGGAGTTTTCATTTTTGCTATTATCCTGAATACACTCCCTCATTTTTATATATTTGCTGTTAAAGTTTAATACTGGAAATCAGACTGGACTTAATAAAAGCAGGGTTAACCTTTGTTATAACTGTACATTTTGAAGGGATTTGGAAATGGTTTATGTGTTTTGCCAATGTGCAGTTCAGCTACTGTATTTGTTGACAATGGTTTAACATAACTTGGTGATGGAGGAGATTTTGTGCTTTATCAGGATTGCCTTTATACTTTGTTTTTGTGAATGAGGACCCAGTAGCACCATCTCTCCAAGCGCAATCTTGTCCAACCTGCTACTGAAATACTGTAAAAATCACCTGCTGTAACATTTAGGGTCACAGGGACTTTGTCCAGTCTGACATTCACTTCTCATTAAACTGTCTTGGACAGCACATCCTCAGAGTAATGCCGCTGGCATAAATCTCTGTACAGTACAATTTCAAAATGGCAGCTACTTTTATAGTTAAAAGTAAGGGGGAGTAAGATTTGCATTGTATTTAATTACAAAGTTGGCAGCGATGCACCTTGACCATAATATTTAATTCCTGAAAAGCCAATAAAAATGATATTAGTGATCGATCTAAAACATCATGGCATGTCAAAGCATTGGTGTATTTGGTTATTACAGAAGTCTTTTATACTGCTTGCTAAGCCTACCTCTTTTCTAAGGCCTTGGCCTGGGAGCGCTCTACAGTGACATAATACATTTCTTATTCTGGATCCTTGACAGTGGGGCTGCAACTAACAATTATTTTCATTAAAGATTAATCTGCAGATTCTTTTCTCGATTCATTAATTTTTAAGAAAATGCTTAAAAATGTCAAAGCGATGTCTTCAAATGTTTTGTTTTGTCTGACCAACAGTCCTAAACCCAAAGATACTCAGTTTACAGTGATATAAAACAGAAAATCAGATGCTGTTTCATGAGATGCTGGATAAAGAGAATTTAGGCTTTTTTTGTTATTAAACAATATTTAACAACAAATAGATTATCAAAATAGTTGCCAATTAATTTTCTGTCTATCGACTGATTGTTGCAGCTCTGCTTCACAGCGAGTATTTACTGTTACTTCACATATTAAGAAGGGCAATTCACCAGGAGACTGGTTACCTTTAGCCTTATGTGAATTAGGCACAGTCAAAACAGAAAGCTGGTAGTTGGTAAAAGCTGGTAAGAATCGCATGTGTATTTAGAAACCGTACCGACTGATTAATAAAGGTAAATTAGGTACCTTATAAAGCATATAATGTGTTTCTTGGATATAATTTAATTCACCTTTCATTTTGAGAAGCAGTCAAATGTAACTTGTCAAGTTTAAACACGAATTGCTGTGGTCAATTCCCCTCTATCCCATTTCCAATCCTATTAACATTTGAATGAGGCACCTGGAAGTTAATTTTACAGAAATAAAACACTTTATTTATATAGCATTCTGTCTTTGCTCTTGTTCACAAACAAGTTCAATATAATTTAACAATAGATGAGTTAAAAGGCTACTTGAAGACTGGCACTATACTGACACAGAATCAGATATGGGCCTTCATGGTTTCTCGGGCAACACCTGGAGTAAAACTCATCTCCTTTTCCTTTCACGCTCTCCCCAACCCTGGGGAAATGGTTTGAACCCAACCTTGATCTAGGTATCAGCGTACATATATAACTCCTTAACAAAAATATACACAATTTTGATTCTGCCAGTAAATTTTGTTCATGCAAGGGGGAAAAAAAGACAGACAGTACCAACTCAGCACATCATTAACAGGACTTTTAAACCATTACACAATAGTTAAATTATAAACTGTACCATCATACAGCATATGATAACAGATTAAGCTAATACTGTGCAAATACACAACTGAGCTGTACAAAACGTATTTTGTACTATTAATTAATCTTGCTTTACTAATCTGCAAAACAACTGCATAAGACACATCACATTTGATGAAACAGCAAAAATATACATCTTTCAGGTCCCTGTCTTCCACATATTGTGCATTTCAATTTTACATTCTGCAATAGTGTCTGATTTGTCTACAGTACATGTTTAGATTATGAAAAAAAAGCAACAGCATGACAAAGAATAGGATGGTAAAATATAAAACTCATGAAGTCTGTCATGATAATGAGCTACCTTTTCAAAGTGCAAAGAGAGCAGGTTGAGTATGTGTAAGACCTGATGTCAGTATGTTACAATTGTCTATGCTTCTGTACCAGAGGAAATCTCACTGAGATAAGAATAAGAGCTCCTAATTTTTAAGGACTTTCTCTTTATTGATATAAAAGTGCAGGCACTGTAAGAAATGTAGAACATCTCCGTCTTCAAGTAAGGTCAGTGTTAACGTTCTTCTCTTCCAACATTTGGTTGTGTTTGGACTCTGATTTACCTTTAGGACAAGGTCCTCAGGACCTCATTTAAACATTTATGGACATTGGCAGGCTGGGAGGCCTGAGCACACTCGATCAGGCTGGGCCCCATCTGAGCGTAAAGGGCTTGGCACAGGTTGGCGGTAGCACCCCTCACGCTGCCGCCCCGGCCCTGAATAGTGCCGCTGTGGGTAGAGGTGCTCAGGAGATGCCACAGCAAGGGCAGCACTTTGTGCTCCACCATCTGGGGCTTGCGAGGGTAGAGCTCTGTCACAAGATCTGGAAATAGAAGAAACAAGAGGTGGTCAGACATTTAAACCAATAAGGCTAAAACAAACTACAGTGCTCTTAATTCTTACAACAAACATACCTGCAACCTTTTCAATAAGATCCACCTTTGCTTTGCCGTTTAAAAACTGAGCCTTGGTGCACAAAGGCTGAAGAAGAAGTATGTTATCTGACATGGAAACAAAGAAAATCACACAGTCAAATAATTACAATTCTCCAATTAGACTGAGCTTCTAATTTTACCTCTACCAGAAATAATGTGAATGCTAGAAATGAGTACCAAGATTTAAGATAAGTGCATTAATAGCTCCAATAGCAGCAGAAGAGATGGCGTTGTTCTTGGAGTTGAGGTGATTGTCCACAATTGCTGGGACCAGGATGTTGACCACTTGGGACAGGTTGTCTTTCAAGAAATGGATGATTTTCTGTAGAGACTCGAGGGCATGCAAGTTGACCTTGCTGTTGGACTCTTGCAGCCTGGCCTTGAAGGCATCAAACACCTGAAAGGAGGGAAACCGTAGGGAAAAGAGGAGAAGGCAATAGAGAGAGAGTTTGGTTTTCATGATGAAACTGAATTGTACAGTGGTAATGGTAAAGCACATAAAGAAATATTGATAGGATTTGAAATAAATGCAAGAACTAACCTGGAATATACTATTGATGACCATGTTGGGGTTGTGCTGGCAGTCGGCTGCAAGCTGGTCGATTCCCTTGATCCTCTCTCTGAAGTCCTTTGAACCCAGCAGACCTGAGATCTGCTTGATGTATTCAGTCTTGTCTGCAATACTCTGTGTCTGAGATCTACAGCTGTAATGGCTATTAGACTCCCTGTAGATGATGAAATACAAACTGTTTATAAAACTGCGAGGAAAGTATAAATAACACACTTTCACTGTGTATTATGCAGTTTATGTAATGCCTCGTGCAGACTACACGACTTTCAGCGTCGGCCAATGACAGTGCTGTTCACGCTACACAACTTGCCGTCTTGAAGTCGTTGTGGCGTTCACACTACGTGACTGATCAGTGACATGGGGTCACACTACACGAGCTGACAAGGACTCACCCGATGCTGGTCTCCAAACCACGTTTTGTCAAGAAAACACATGTGAAATGTGAAACGGGAAATGACGTAAATCTACACATGAAACAACTGTTATTTGTTATTATGAAGATACCAATTATAAAGACAGAAAATATGGATGAAAGAATAGATTAGCACACACAGGTAGCAGGGATTGTCAGTGCAACAGAGAGTAAAAAGTGTTTTGCGGTGAAAAGTAGCTGCCTGCTCTCATTGGCTGGATGTGGATGTCAAGTCGGCCAACTCCTCCAGATATTTGGCATGCTAGATATCTGGCAGACGTCGGCAAGGTGTCAGAAATGTGTTGTTGTGTAGTTCACACATAACAACTGGCGACCGCCGATCGACCACTGATTTACCCCCGATCACAGTCTGATGGTCGCCGAGCAGCAAATCGGGCTAAAAATCGTGTAGTGTGAACTAGGCTTAAGGTACACCTCTGCTACAAGGCAGAATTTAGTTTACACTGCTTTACTGGTTGGTATTTACACTCACCTGATGGTCTGGTTAGGTGGCTCCCTGGTGAGAGATGAGGCTCTGACTGTACCACTGCCTGGGAGGGAGCGTCTACCCCTGGCTGACTGGGTGTCTTGAGGCATCTCACCAAGACCCTTAAAAAAACCCATCAGTGTCCAGGGAAGATGACAGTTTGACTTGTACCAAAAACAGCAATGTTATAAACACATACAAGAAAAAAACACTGTACCTTTGTCTTGAGAGTGATGACCGTGTCTCTGACAGTCGGCAGGTCTTTGGTGGGGATATATTTCTCCAGGATCTTGTCAAAGTCAGGGTGGGATGACAGGGACAGCAGCATCCGACGCCCAAAGTACCTGATGGCGTGTGGGAACCAGTGCAATAGTGAGAACTCTGACACTTTTAGATATTAACAGTGGCTTCTCAGCGGTGATGCTATCTTTGGCCATGCATGTCTTTGGACAGTGGGAGGAAATACTGCATTATATTGAAACAATCTTTTCTATTCCTACTTACATACACAGGGCAACTAAATATTACAAAATGATAGACAACCAACAAAAACAGCATCAACACTGACCAGGGCCCTGTTTTAGAAAGCAGGCTTAACAAACTCTGAGCTTATCCCTGAGCTCTGAGTTGATTAAGCCTGAGGTGGGAAACTTTGAAATTTTCAGTTCCAGAACAGCTGATCAGAATAAGTTCAATCAACCCTGAGTATGTTGAGCCTGTGCATGGGGGTGAAAAAAAGCCATCATCAATGGATTGCCGATACTACGATTCACCATGGCAACGGGTAAATAAGGGCAGAGTCTCCATTTGAATCGAGTGGAGCTAGTAGGCCTAATAAGAATGCGTTCCAAAGCAGACCATGATAGGCTATAAAAGTGGAAGAAGGATCAATGCGTTAACAGGCTACTATACAGCGTTGCTCATTCATTATTTACCCGACTGGAATTTCCTTAATGAATGATAAATTGCTACAGCTCATTACATTTGATTTTAAATAGGAAGGCTATATTTATTAAGCTCTAACCCGACAGGACAAAATGCCGGTGGCAATTCGGCTACCTAATTATGAAAATAGGCCTATAGATCAAATATAAGAACCAGTTTACTCATGGACCTGTGATTGTAAAGTCACAGTCACACACAGCAGGTTAGCTTATTCATTTTTTTTTTTTTGCAGTGGAAAATGTGTCTATAGCTTAAAGTTTTAGACGTCTATTTTACATTAATAAAATCTTGCTCATTCCGTATTTTATTAATACTGTCAAATCACATTCAGACTATCAGCAGTGAATAAAGAAAAACTCACTTATAAACCTTATTTAGGCCTATTTGTTTCAGCTGCATCACAGTCATCCTCACTCAGAAACAGTCACATTATCTCCAGTTGTTAACGACGATAAGAATGTTCCAATCTGTGCGACTAGCCTACAATATGAAAGATTACTGTTCATTGATCAGTTTTATAGGTTACATATTAAATAGTGATTACTGCAGTAATTTAGCACACAGGAAGTGTTTTCAGTGCGACTGTCCACAGAGTCACAGCGTTAAAGACGGACATAAATTTTATTCTGTGCTGAGGACAAATCCAAGATGTGCGGAGATCTGTCCTTACATTGATGACAGATTGATCATAAAGCGGTCATGTTCAAGATCATGTTTGGGTGAAAAACGAATAGCCTATATAGTTTTTAAAGATGTAAATGCGTTCAGATATGTGCTTTGATATCGACAGAATGAATGAGGAAATGAAACGGTGTGTCAGAAAGCCGCCTCAGGCTCCGCGGGAGGGGAGAAAGTCAGAGAGAAACTGGTGTTTTCAAACTTATCCTGTGAACCTAACCTCCTCGGGAGGAGAACTGATTCACAGCATCAGTTGCCGGAGTTACTGATCTAGGGATTATCTGATCTCGCCCTCTGAAACGGAAAACTCAAGAGTTTCCCTCATCTCAGGCTTAACATACTCAGAATTTTCACTAATCCTGCTTTCTGAAACAGGGCCGAGGAGTAAAATCCTCAGATAGTGTCAAAAAAACTGAATATTAGAAGCTTGCATTACATTGTAGTCTATTTTTCTTGTCACTTGTCATTTCATAGCTTGCAGCAACCACTTTAAAGCATCACTCATCTAATTTACTTTGAAATTAAAAAACAAAACAAAAAAACCCTGAAAATTTTGAAAGGATGAAATCCTTTGGAAAATTTCATATTTTGTATTTTCACAATGAGTTATGTTTTATTAGCCACTGAATGGCCTAGAATTTTCTACAAACCATGTTAAGGATTATCTGTGAATTAGCTGGTAGACCCATCAACTCTTTGTTTCATTCCAACCAGCATCTTCTAAAACTGAAAATATAAATGAATTGCACTCAAGTTTAGGCCAACGCAAAAGCCAAAATCAAATCTGTGTGTACACACATGAATGAAGCCCGATGGCTCTAACTTGTAAATACCTCACTGAAAACACATGCAGACAACAACAACAAAAAATGTGCCTCTACATACCTGGCTTCCTGTGAGGAGTCTTGAGTGAGTTTGGTGACGGCAGGTAGGATTCTGTCGTTGAGATCTTTACCTCCAGACAGTAGACGGACAGCACCGACCTTCTCTACCAGATTTGCCAGATGCTGGGCTGTGCATTTTCTCACCACTGGGTTAAGGTGACTATCGGAAGATGGGAAACCACTTCAGCAATTCAAATTTCAAAAAGCCTTTGGTATTAAGAACAGTGCAAAAGTAAATGGTAAATGGACTGCATTTATACGGCACTTCTCTATTTTAACAGAGAAATCGTTTTACAGTTTTGTCTCTCATTCACCCATTCTCACACACACAAACACAGCGATGGCGGCAGGGCTGCCATGCAAGGCGCTGGCCTGCCCATCAGGAGCAACTTGGGGTTCAGTGTCTTGCTCAAGGACCCTTCGACACATTGACAGGAGGAGTCGTGGGCACAAACCACCAACCCTGCTATTAATGGACGACCCACTTTCCCACAGCCGCCTCACAAGAACCCACAGACATTCCATATTGTAAGTGTAGTGAAACAGCACTTCACTGTGTGTGTATGTGGACACACACACTGACCTGATACCCCCAGAGAGTAAAGCACTGATGCTACGAGTGGTTGTGCAGTGCTGCGCCATGCAGTCCAGTGCTGCATCCACATCCTGCCTAATGAAGGCGTTACACTCCCCGGCCTTCTGCAGTAAAGCTTTAACTGTCCCCTCCAGCTCCTGGTCCATTGCCCTCTGCAGGTGGGTGTATAGGTCGCCCAGTGTACACACTGCAGCCCTGGACACACCTGACCGCAGGTTCTTCACCTGAATAAGATGGACATTACTAATACCTCACGGGTAACAGGATCATTCCAGCATCAAATATAGATAAAGACATAACTCTGACAAAAACACTAAACAAGCCTGATTACTAAGGCACGGATTTATGAAAGTGATCTGCAAAATCAGATATCAATATAGATAAATTAGAAGTGAAGCAAGTTCAGATGGAGTAAACTAGCAAAATGAATATAGGTCAAAGTGGTGTGGGAGTGTTACACAACAAAGTTATAGTACCTCTTGAACGAGAGATAGGCAGACATCATGAAGCCTGCCCTGGAGTGTGTCTGAGTGGTAGTGAGCCAGACTGCGCAGGAACGTCAGACCCTCGATCTTCTTCTCCCTGAAGTAAAAGAATAAAGATAGTTGGTGGCCATTTCATAGACTGATAGAGCAGAGAAGATACGCTTCCTGGTTAGTATGATGTATGATGATCGTGGTGTTTGTATCATAACACCTGCAAGTGCATTTGTCATGCTATTCTATATTTTAGAAACCTCTGTAGGATCCCTAGATTTGATTTATTAGTATGATGGATCAAAACTATTCTCTTCCAAAGCAGTGCAGCTGAAAAATGCAAGTGTTCCTCACCATTCTTCTGAGTTCAGCAGGTTGAAGCTCTGCGTCAGCGCCTGCTCAGGCTTGGAAAACGGACACAGCTCCGGAGGCTCCGAGAGATTTTTCTTGTGGCCAGCAGTACCAGGGGAGAGCTCATCTAGATGGCCCATCAGACACCACACAACACACAGATTCGGTCTCATGTTACATCTCTATCAGTCTGAAAACAAGCAGCGTGTGTGGGCGGCAGTGCATTAACAGTAGGTTGTCAAAACATAGCATTGTGGCACATTATCCAAAGCAAACATCTTATTCACCCATGCTCTAATGGCTCTGACAGTCTAATTAATGTTCCAACAGTTTCTATCAACAAAGACCTGTTAAAGCACTGGTTCATCTATTAATAATGCGGCGGAATATTGCTACAATACAAGCCTGTGTCAGACCAACTGAGAGATGATACATAGCAGCATAATAAAGATGCACATTTTTTAGTTTAAAAAACAGACGATTGAGCTTGTCACTTGGTGCAGCAGGTAGATGAAGTCTTAGTTTTTCAGGTTAGACCCACTAACCTGAGCTGTGGGACAGCGATGGTCGGGTTCTGCTGAGGCTAGGGGCCCTCCTAAGACGGGACGGGTTTTTGGGGTTGGGGGGAACAGTGGGCGGGCTCGGCTGGTGGGGCAGAGTGAAGCACTTTATGGGGCTTTGGTGTCCTGGTGGGCTGACGGGACTCGTGGGGCTGATAGGGGACTCCTCGGAGAGAAGATCTGCTTTAGTGGAGGTCAGTGTGCTGCCGTTCAGATGCAGATCTACATATGAGAAAATCAACTTTTCAAGTCTCTGGTTGCAAACATTATGAGCTGAGCATGAGGATAAACTATAAAACAACACAGAAAGTGCAATATGGCAACAAAAATGATACAAATTTATGCCTTATGTGTTTTAGTGGACATTCTTCTCCACACTGGCTTTTTACATTGGCATATATACAGTATATCAAATATAGTTAACACTTTTCGACGCAGCCAAAGATCGATGAGAAGCTAAGAAAATCTTTGGAAAAGCTAGAATGTAAACTCTGCCTTTAACCCCACAGTATAAAGAAATACAAAGTTATACGCAAAATAAAAACAGCTGGTTGAGGTTTGCAAATCTTTCTCTTGCCTTTGATTATTAATAATCTATTCTCCTCAGTGGGCGAGTCAGACAGCATCTGTCGGACTCGGTGGCGAATCTTGTCTCGTGTGTGGTTCCCTTGACTGAATTGCTCCTCTTGCTGATCGAGACACTGCAGCTTCATCTTCTCTCGGCTAAACCTTGCATTCTTCCCCCTCTGCTGCACATGCATTGGTAGAAAACACACCAGGTAGGACTTTGGTATCTGGAAATTTTGCATGACATACTATGATTTACCACAGGACAAAGTGTGACTAACCTTAACCTCATCCGGACGTGGGCTGTCATCACCGTCTGGGTGACTGCCAGACAGAGCATGGCTGTAGATGCCTGCTGAGGGATCAGTGGGGGGTTTGGCCTCAAAATCACCCTGCTCCAGTGACAAGCCGACTCCTGGACGGCTGGAGGACACTGTGGTGCCAAACATGCCTGAGAAGCATGAGGGGGATTGCTTTAATGTATTATCAGAGAGGTAGACACCAAACTTTCTCAGCTACTAGAATAATCAGTAATACCATCTATTTACACTGAGAATTTTGTTGCAGTGAGCAATATTTTCCATTTCCAAATTGGAAAATAATGCCCACTGCAACCTTTGGCAATGTTTCTGCATAACTCCTTTCAATCTGTTGTAAAACAGCACTCAGCTAGAAGACCTTGGCAACAGAACAGGACTTTTATTGTTGAACTGAACGATGACTTGTGAGACCGACCTCTTCCAATGACTCCTTCGGACATTTCTGTGGCTGGTGAGTTTCTGCTGCTGTGACTCTGAGATCCTAAGAACCAAAGGAGAGGAATACTGATGGCTTTAATTATTTAAGCACACAAAATGCTATTACCAGGAAAATCCAGGAAAAGCTCTGTTTGATATCACTGCTTATGGACCTTTGGCAGGCTTCAGAGCTCTGACTGATTCACGGAAGGCTGCTTTGACCAGTGGAGGGCACGGCCCTGTTGTCTCTTCCTCAGTTTTGATTGATCCGTTGGAGTAAGTGACTCGCTGCCCAACAACACCCACCTCAGATGACAATTCGCTCTTCTGAGACAATCCTTGAAAAAAAAAAAACCAAACAAAGACATAAATAAGATAGATAATAGACAATAAAACAGATTGGGCAAAACCGTTTTATCGCTTTTATACCTTGAAGGCTGCTGAAGTCCATGGACACAGAAGACCGCAGTTTTGCAGAAGGCACTCTTGCAATGCGAGGTTTCATTTCTGAAGAGGCACTGTTTCTGGGACTGTTGACAGATGTGACAGGTGACAAATGATGCTGGAAAACTGCTTAACACATTTCCGCACATTGTCAAACAAACACAAGATGGGTACTGTGTTACCACTGCTGTTACCCGTCACCAGCTCTGTGACAACGTTTACTCAATTAACTGGAATTTAACAACAGGTACTAGAGCTGACTAATGTCCCCCACATACTATGATCCTCATTACAAATTAAACACAATTTGAATAATGAAATCGTAAAATCAAATGCATCATTTGAAAACGTGTTATACAGTGTCTTTATGCCTTTGTTTACATGGGACATATGTAAATAAAGCTCCCACATGATAAAACATGCAGAGTTTCTCCTTAATATGTCTTATTTTGCCTTGCTAAATATGCAAAATAACATCCAATTGGATTATCTACTCTACAGGAGGAACCTATGATATTTAAAGTAAGAGTCTACTCGCAGACAGTGGCTGTGCAGTGACTATACACAAAATGTAGATCCTCTACCTGGTTTTGATGCCATTGAAGCTGGAGTTAGCGACTGAGCTCAGACTGGAAAGACCACTCTCACTGGCTGAGCTTGTAAGCATTGGAGAGGTGTGTGATGGAGAGTCCAGGCCTAGATCCAGCCTCACAGCTGAGTCAGGGCTGTCTGGATCTTGATCTGAACTGCTAAGGCTCACTTTGGCCCTCTTCTTGGCAGCGCTGTTGCGCAATGAGCGCAGAGAGTTCAACATCTGTGAGCAAAACACACATTGGCACAAAAATTGTATATATATTTATTTATCTTTTCTGTGGAAAAACAGACAGTTTACTGACCTCCTGCATGTCCAGAGGATCATCCTCTTGAGATTCTTTCACCGCAATGATGCTATCAGTGTCCAGATGAAGGTCCCTTTCTAGCTGCTGACTCTGAGGGCTGCCTGGAGCATTGGACCTCTGGCCATTGTGGGACTGGACCTGCTCTGCTGTAGGGACAACTGGCGAGACAGACAGGGTTGCCTTGGTACTGCTCAGAGCCCGACGGAATGACGAAGTGGAAGAAGAACTCATGAGGGAAGCACGGAGAGGCCTGGGAGAGCATCTGCTAGAGAGATGGTCCGACTAAAAGGGGTAGTACACAGAGGATAAGAAAAAACAGATGACACAAAGGAGCCACAATGTTTTTTTTAAATTCAGCTGACAGCCCACATGACGACTTAGGTGTTTTCACTACATTACCCTTGGCTGCGCCTGTGTCTCTCCAGGGGCTGGTGTCTCGCTGGTGAGGGCTGTTCTCTCTCTTGTTGGGCCAGGTGTTGGACATAGAGAGGGAAGAGTCTGCATGACGGCGGGACAGTGTTGGAGTAAGCATGCCTCCTGGGAGTGTAGCCAATGGGTAAGAGGGCAGTAGGAAGGAGCCGGACGTAGTGGGGTTCGAGGGGAGGGAAAATGTGCGCTCAACACTGGGGTTTCTTGAGATCATGTGTTCCTTGGGTGCCACTGGGAGACAGAGTATTCACAGGTCAGGAACCATGAAAAACTGAGTAGGTTGTAACAAGGTGGAACTATGGCTGGATACTGAAAACTGTCCATTTATGTGACTCAAGTTCTTATTATTCATTTTTGCTTATCTGTATGTGAACACATTCAAAAGGAACTTTAAAGTGACGGTACGAAGTAATGACTCCTTACCAACATCTGTGTCAGAGAAGTTGGTTTTAAAGATGTCTGGGTCTAAGTTGAGGCTTCCACTTCTTCTGAGGCGTGCAGGGGACACCCTCCTTCTGGAGGAGTGTGGCTTCTGAGGCTCTGCAGAACCTACATTAAAAGTATATTTTGCCATTCACTCTATATACCTAACAGGGATGCCCAATACTCTGATAAATTAAATGACAGTAACAATCCTTCCGTAAACTGATGACTTAAAAAGGGGATAGTACAAAGGGGATATAATGAGTGTAACTTTAGTTACTATCTTCGGCTACTTTAATTTCTTTCTTTCTGGTATTGATTTCTATTCTATCTATTGTCTATTAAAAACCTTATTTAATACATAATTCAATGTCTGTGCCTGACTGCTGCACTGAACAAATGTTCAAGTCCAGTCTTGCCAGTGAAAACAGAGAGTTGGGACACACAAGAGGCTATGTAGAGGGAGTCACACACAGCTGCAGCCATAAAAACTGGACAATTACACAAGAACAATTTGGCAGCACACACAGTTGATTGTTATAGGAAAAAAAGACTGCATTCTAATATTTCGAGCACACGTCCTACACTGTAATCTTAAATTAAGGATTAGTAGCAGTATTGGAAGTGAGTGTAATCTCTGTGCAAGTGGTCAGAATCAAATAGCCAGTGATAACACTCAACATAAGATTCAGTGAGGATAAAATAATTTAGTAGGCAACAATGGCTTTTGCTGTCATAAATCTGGCCATTCCCCAACATTTTCTGCTTGTGTCCAAACTAATGGGTAGTCAGCAGCTGGCAGGTCATTTTTAACTTGATGCCACTGACAAGCTATAAACCTACGACCCCTTGCTACAGTTATAGTGTCAGTGACACCACACATTTGCTAGGCTTAGTTTTCTTTTGCAGTCAGCTAATTGCAAGAGCTTCAAGATATTTGAGGATAAATCGAATACAGCAGGGTCTACTTTTTACAACATTGTCTTACCTGACTAAGCTTGAGTAACATTTAGGGGTGAATTATGCTCTCACAATTAGCCTGCCTCACTGCAGCATGCTCTGAATCTGTTCACTGGATGCACTGAGGTAAGTATTATTCCATAGAAAGCATACAGTGTATCCGGCAATGTGAAACTTTTAAGGTAAAATTATTAAGAGTTTGATGACTATTTTCTGTTAGGAGTCATAACATCCAGCAGGCTAGATTTTTAGAAAACTAAACAGTTGGTGGGTGGTATTGTGTAATGGTCTCTTGCGTGTTTGTAACAGGTATGACTTATCTGCGAGCGTGCTCATCTCCGGGCATTTAGTGACATACGGCATGGTGACCTCTCTGATTCAGCATGCTAATCCAATTTAAAGGCACTCTAATTGGAGTCCAGCTGAAGTCCTGTCATGGTCACCAAATAACTGTAACCTCATATGGGATACATGTGAGTGTAATGTTGGGAGACAGAAGAACTGGCACTTACTGAAACTGGGAATGTAAGTCTCTGGACTCAGCTTCCTGGACAGGTGAGGGAAATCCTCACTGGCGACCTATTAGTAGGCAGAACATTATTTCCTTTAATTGCAACAAAAGTGGATGAAGTTCAAATAACGAATGTAAAGCAATGCTTAAATAAACAGTCTAAATGTAATTCCATCCACTGGCCTGAACAAAGGGATGTAGCAGATACTTGGCCAGCTCAGACAAGAGACACTGGCAATTAGGTGAATCTTCTGCTACTGTAAACAGACTTAGATCTTAACTGTTCCCATGAAACTTTAAATGCAACCTTTGAAATCTTGGTCCAACATAAATGAATATAGTTGGGAGAGAATTATGACTGTTTTCCATCAGTTCATGCATCTCAGCCTTTGAGAGAGAGAGTGTGTGTGTGGAGCACTTAGCACAATAGCAATCAACACTACAGACGTAAATAAGCCATGTTTTACAAGCATAACCCCTGTGATATTACCAATTATACTTCACGCCCCCTTCGATAAGTGTGCTGTGTGGTAATGGGGTTGCTGGGAAACTGACACCGCTGTAAACAGAAGGTTTTTCAAATGGAGGCTCTGAGCTGGATAATAGTTTCCAGAACAAAAAAGGGTCAAGTAATACCTCATGAAACAAACACACTCATCCAAAACCAATAGACATTATTAGAAAAGAGCTTATAGAAGCTTATGTTTAACAAAGCATTCTAGTTTGTTAGCTAATAAAATGTGATCCAGTATGCATTCCAGTACGTCCTTTAACCTGACAAAGTGGTAGGTTGACCCAGATTGTTACAGGGCCTATTCTCGAGACAATGGATACTCATCCTTGCAGCGACAGTGTCACTGTGCAGGGGTATGAGTCATCTACTGTTTTTCTTCCAGGAATAGTCACTGATCCTGAAGTGCTCTGGGATCTGTTCCTCTCTCTGTTTATAATGAATTGAGAGCCACATATTCAACAATACAACTTGGCCTATTGTTACCCTGCAAACAGATACCGATTGATTGCTAATAATGTTAAAAAATAAACAGCACTCATGTACAGATGACAATAGTAGTGTAGTAAGATAAAACTGTCCCTATCTGCTGCATTTAATTTTCTTTCCCTGGACTTCTCTGGGGCCTTTGGGTGTGATTCAACTTGTTCAAACAACTAGTGTAAAATTCTGACAGTACACAAACTGCCAACTCCCCAGATTTTTGAAGATTAATTTTTAATGAGGCTTAGCTTCATAATTCCTCTGTGAACTAAACGAGTCTAAAAGGGAGGCGGAAAAAGCAAGCACACAAAAATAACCACCCCTTCCATGCTCTTTGCCATGCCTGCACTTGCTAGCTGATTGGGAGCCAATCAAATTAACAAAGTCAATATGAAAAACCTTCTGGTGCTCTTAAAATCCCCTGTACAGGCAGTCAACAAATGACTGATTAAGCCCTATTTTTGGGTGATTTCAAAGAGTATTTTAAGAACAAAAAATAAGGGGAACATTGCTTGTTGAGTCAATAACTGCTTTGTTAATGTCAAAATTTCCATCTGTTATCGGGGTAAACTAACCTACAATACACCAGAACATCCCTCAAAGCTGTATATCTTATTTTGACAGAGAATCACAGAGTTAGTGGAAGTAGTCGACAGTGTTGGTGGACCCCACCTGTTCAGAGCACTTTCCATTAGGGGTGCTGCATTGCTGGTCATTTTCAGTGGATGAGGAGCTTGACATCTCCCACGGTAGTTTGTTCTTCCCTTTACCCGCGCTGACAATCCTCCTTTGAAATGGAAGGTCATCGGTGAGGGAGCCTACGCTCCCATAGCCGTACAATCGGTCGCAATCTGGCTCAGTTCTGTGGCTCCTGGCACTGCTTGTCCGCCCTCCGTTCATCACCCAGTCCAGATCAGCTCCGGAACCATATTGCAGGGAGCACCGCTGTCCTGGTTTGGGCACCACCAAGCCATACTCCACTATCCCCTCTGAGGTGAGTTTCGGAAGGACGTGCCTTGCTCGTCTTGCCTGTACAGCTGCCATAAGACCCTCTGCATCCTCATTGAGTTCGACCATGTCCACAGCTTTTATTAGGGGCTGCCTTTTCCCTGTGTCAAGGCAATAGTCAAAAACAGCAAACAGCTCAAGGGCGGCGTGACGGACTTTCTTTTTGCTGTCTGCCAGGTATGGTGCAACCTCAAAACAAAGCTTGGGGATGTTGAAATCTTTCCTAGGATGAGTGAGCATAGCTGCCATAATGATGTTAAGGACATCTTCACGAACCCTTGAATTCTTGTGTTTCAAGTTGCCAATGACATGATCCAATATTTGTTGCGGCGCCACACTTTTCATCAGCTGTCGAAACACATTCATGTATTCGTTTCTGGTGAGGGTGCGAGTGTCCCCCAGGGCCTTCAGAGCCACTAAGACTATCTGTTTAAAATATTTGTCTACACCTGTATCTAGCTTCTGAATGAGCAAGTTTAAAACTTGTAAGGTGCCATATAATACTTTAAAATTACTGTCACCCAGAAGTCGCGGGAGAAAATTGATGAACTCGTCAATACTGCCAGATGGGACTGATTTCATGTCCACTTCTGAGAGGACATGTTTGAGCTCTTCCACCCCATTTGTGCGATTTTGGTAATTCTTCAGGTCCAGAAGCTGCATGTGTAACTCCTTGGAGATCAATCCGGGTATCATTATTGATGGTCTTATGGATGTGGTCAAATTTGAGAATCCAAAAAAGCAAACGCAATCCCACGAGGACAGTAATATTCCTCCTCCTTACTTCGTGCTTTCATCCTGAGTGGTTGCTGATGGAAAACCACTCTCCTGTTTGTCAAGCTGTGAATGCAAAACATAGACAATTAATAACATGGCACAGGACTGAATAAATTACGATTTAGGGGAAAGGGGCCCCGTAATTATGTATGTTATAACACAGTAATTGTGCATTATTCTAACTGAGGGAGTGTCTTATTGCTACTCAACACCATGAACTACGTTTGATTAGAGCACACAACCACTTGTGGCTGCCAGGCTTTAACGTTAGTAATCAGCAGAATGACTGAGATAACGTTTACTGCTGTAACGTCATTACTATATTCTCTGCTACTGTTAACATTAGTAACTATGAAGTGGAAATGGCGCTTATTCGATACTAAGTAATGCATTCAATGGGCTTAATGTTGCAATCAGTCCCTGACTACACGGTTCCCGTTAAGCAGCCTACATTAGTTAGCCAAAGAGAATCATAGCTAACAGCAACATCGTTCAAACGGCGCTAAGCTAACTCGCTAACTGTTACTCCGCTAATGGTGTTAGTGGTGAATGCTGGCTGACTGGACGAGCAAAGTTACAAAAACAGCAAGAAAATAGACCTTGCATTTCTTCCCCAGGTCCTCTTCGGTGACGCTCGACGAGGCTAACGTTATCTAATGTTACGTCGTCCAAATGTCCATGTCATGCTGCGGCAGCTACAGTTGTCTAAGTGCAGACATTTTCCCTGGTTGTTTAAGCTGGTGTCTGGAGTGTTGAATGTTTGGGAGCTTCAGAGGTACTCTCACAGAGAGGAGCCCACACACATACACACGCCGAGGCAGCAAAATGGCGAATACATGTCGCAAACTGAGCGCTCCCATGGTGACGCTCCTCCAGGCTCCTGCTCCAGACTGTACCATCACCATCAGCACAGTGGAAAAGTTAAAATGAAACAACCACCTAAACAACGTGTAACATGCGTTTATTTAATGTTTGTGCACTGGTTTACACACACACACACACACACACACACACACACACACATATCTATATATATATATATATATATATGTGTGTGTGTGTGTGCTATAAAGAAAAGTCAATATTTTCTCTTTCTCTATGTTGTATATAGTATATTCTATTTGCCATACATCCACGGATTATAAACTGATTACTAATAGAACAACCAAAAAAACAGGTTACTGAACTTTTTATTCGTTAAATTTAGGCAACTTTAATAAATATCTAACTCATAATATATTTTAGATGCAAATATTATACTTTTTAATCCACTACATTTTTGACTGCTACAAATCCCGAATGTATGTTATAGTATATTCTATTAGCCATCTATACATCCACGGTTTATTAGAACAACAACAAAAAAAACTTGGGTCACTTAGACATTAGAATAGTTCTAATTGATGATTTCTAAAATGCCCTTCAGGGATGCACCCATGTTGTGGGACACAAATGAGGTTCTAAAATGTATGCTAAAAGGCTTTTAACAATAAAATGAAAACAACAATGAACAATGAAAACAGTATGTTTACTCAAGTATTGTACTAAAGCACACTTTTGATGTGACTTTCTTTACTTTAAATTTAAGCAACTTTATGCACAATATTTCTCTCACAATATATTTCAGAGGCAAATGTTTTACTTTTATACTCCACTACATTTTTTGACAGCTACAATTACTTGTAAATTTCCAAATTTAGTTTTTAAATACATATCCCAGGATGAGCTTCAAATATGATGCATTGTGATGGATTAAACTATCCAACTAATCTAATCTAAATCAGTTAGCTCCACCTGGACCAGCTACAACAGTGAAATGCTAGTTACAAATGAAAGCATCAATAATAATCCAATGCAATATATATTTCACTGACATTGACTAACTTTCACACACAAAAACACTCTACATATGTGAGTATTATATTAAAACAGATTTTTTGAAGAACCTTTCCTTGACAAGATATAGTATTTTTTGCTGAAATTATTTTTATACATTTAGTGAAGTTAAGTTGTTACTAAATAGTTTATATTGCTATAAAGTATATACTTTTATACAACACATACTTATACTGCGGTGTGTGCTTTGTTGCTATCAAAAAGCTCTGCAGAGTAATGTTTTTAAATCCTTTTAAAAATACAGGTAAAGCTTACTATTGTTTCACATGCTGACATCAGTGCTTTTCCGTGTCGTTTTATTTTGAAAAAAGCGGAAGTGGGTGTGCTGCTCGTTATTAAAAGAGCTCATCTGTGGCTTTGTGGCTAGCTTGGCAGTAGGTTGTTTTCCTGATAGCCGCCCGGGGTTCACACTCGTCGCTGCTGAACTCCGCCACCGCAAAATCGGTCATTACAGCGGCACGCCAGACGGACTATAGGTTACAGGTTTGTTTTCTATTCTGTCACGATATACAAATAATATCTGACAGCTAGCTATAACGTCACGTTTTGCATCTGTCAGCCATGTTACTGTATATCAATCAGCGATGCAGCTAGCCACAGGAACCGTGTTTTATTTTTAGCAGCTAACCTTCGCTGACTGCAGTGCAATGAGACAGAGATATAGGCACTGTGTATTTGCTGGTGTTGAGCATTGTTGACGATAACGATGTTCCCGTGAACGCCGATGTTAATATCAATATGAAACCGTGGACATTGTGTGTGTGTTTTGCAAAATTCAAGCTGTTCATATGGTTTACTGTGTCTTAGCTAGCGACAACTAGCTGTCTGCTGATGTAATGTTAAAGCTAAGAGGATAGCTACCGAGTTTTGATCTAGCCAGGTCCTTCGTTCAGAAATCAAGCCAAGGCATCAGTCAACAAAGTAACAGATAACGTTATTGGGATTAAATGTTGCAAAGCATAAATGCCCAGCAGCGTATGCGCACTTAACTTGAAATGTGTATGTCTTCTGTCCAGTACGGTTGGTTAAGCAGCGTTAGCACTGGATTTAGAACATCATGCATCTTTAGCTTGCTTCACAGACTGCTTACAACGGGTCTATAACTACTGCATTACTTCAAAACATCCCTGAATGCATAACTGCCCAGGGATGTTTCCTTAACGCGTGCTGTAATTACGTCATGTTGCACAGGCCTATATTTTTTGTTGACTTTTCCGGCTTGTAGTCTCATGGGCAAGCTGACAACTAGTTCATTTCTAGGATTTGCTGTATTTCCATTGGTTGTTGATAACATGCCAGTTAATCAGAACATTTTGCTGAATCACTAGCCTTTGAAAAAATGTCAACACAGTCAACACTGCACTGATATGTGGATTCCTGCTCTTAGATGGACCAGCAGGACCAGTCCTATATGTTTGCCAGTCTGAAACGGCCTCACTCAGAGCAGCTGCTGCAAGGCCTCCAGCTCTTGCGGCAGGATCACGAACTATGTGACATTGTCCTCCGTGTGGGTGATGCCAAGATCCATGCCCACAAAGTAGTGCTGGCCAGCATCAGCCCTTACTTCAAGGCCATGTTCACGGGTAACCTGTCGGAAAAGGAGACCTCAGAGGTCGAATTCCAGTGCATCGATGAGACTGCCTTGCAGGTATGCTTGGAGCCAGCAAGACACAATTACAAACTGCACTGATTAACTGCTGTACCATAGCTATTGTTTATGTGATGTTTTTACTGTCTCTCCTAGGCTATCGTTGAGTACGCCTACACTGGCACAGTTTTTATTTCCCAGGAAACAGTTGAATCTCTGCTACCGGCTGCCAACTTACTCCAGGTTAAGCTAGTACTTAAGGAGTGCTGCTCCTTCTTAGAGAGCCAGCTGGACGCTGGGAACTGTATTGGCATCTCCCGCTTTGCAGAGACCTATGGCTGTCATGACCTGTGCCTGGCTGCAACCAAGTTCATCTGTGAGAACTTTGAGGAAGTTTGTCAGACAGAGGAGTTTTTTGAACTGACAAGGGCTGAGTTAGATGAAATTGTGTCCAATGACTGCCTTAAGGTGGTCACAGAGGAGACTGTATTTTACGCCCTGGAATCGTGGATCAAATATGACGTAACTGAACGACAGCAACATCTGGCTCAGCTGCTGCACTGTGTTCGCCTTCCACTCCTCAGCGTCAAATTTCTCACTCGCCTGTATGAGGCCAACCACCTTATAAGAGATGATCATGCGTGCAAGCACCTGCTCAACGAGGCCCTCAAATATCATTTTATGCCTGAGCACCGGCTCTCCTATCAGACTGTGTTGTCAGCACGGCCCAGATGTGCCCCAAAGGTCCTGCTTGCAGTAGGAGGCAAGGCTGGACTATTTGCAACATTAGAAAGGTAATTATGATGTCTAGATCATAATTTTTAAGCACTTTTGAAAAGGCAACTATATTTTCTATGCCTTCTTTATGTTCTGTGTTTAAAAACAAACAGGCTAATCATAATACTGTTTTTACTCTTGCAGCATGGAAATGTATTTCCCTCAGACAGATTCGTGGATAGGACTGGCGCCGCTCAGTGTACCCCGATATGAATTTGGAGTGGCAGTGCTGGACCACAAGGTATATGTGGTTGGAGGCATCGCCACGCACATGAGACAGGGCATTAGCTATCGGAGGCACGAGAGCACGGTCGAGAGCTGGGACCCTGAAAGCAACACCTGGTCCTCGGTGGAGCGGATGGCTGAATGCCGCAGCACACTCGGGGTGGTGGTCCTGGCTGGCGAGCTGTACGCCCTCGGAGGCTATGACGGCCAGTATTACCTCCAGTCAGTCGAGAAATATGTCCCCAAGCTGAAGGAGTGGCAGCCTGTAGCACCTATGACAAAGTCCCGCAGCTGCTTTGCCACCGCGGTACTGGATGGCATGGTGTACGCTATTGGCGGCTATGGCCCAGCCCATATGAACAGGTACCACCACTGAGAGGATATGCTCTGTTTTTGGTTAACCTGTGGTAACGTGTTGTATGTTATGGACTGTTAAACATCAGGAACAGGGGATTTTGAGTTACATCTGTGCCAATTTATCTAATTAACTTTTTTGAAGTGCCAAAACTAAACAAATTTGATACATTTTATTTGTATGTATAAATGGTGAATAGGAAAGCATTCAGTCCCCGTACAATTTGGACAGCAGCAGGTTTAATGGGTAAATTACATGAACATTAATAACTGTTATCTTATTCTGTATATAACCCAATAATTAACAAGGCACTGAATCACTCATTCTGTAGCTGCTCATTTTTTATATGTATGTATGTATGTATGTGTGTCTGTATAATTTGAAGACTGCAGAACACCACATAGGATCAAAACATGCAACTAACCTTTCTTTGCTCCAACAGATGACATTTGACATCAGAAACCTAAGGTTTATTTAAATAAAAGGGTCTTTGATCTTTGTGAAAAGCTTCTAGCTCTTTTAGACCTCCTAACCTGGCTTTCTCCCTCAAGGGCTTGTTAGTTATTTAATAGAACTGGGAATCAAGTGAAGGACATGGAGTGTTGTTGAGAAAATGGCCAGTACCCTGTTAATGACTGAAGAAGAGTCCAAACAGAAGTTTCATTGAGAGGGTGCCTGACTCTGTGCTGCTGGTTAGATCTCTGTTGTTGCACAGGATCTCTGGAGAGCAGTGTCTCTGTTGCTTGTTTCCTTGACTCCCAAAACCCCTCAGGAGAATGTGTTTTGGACAGGGACCCCCCCCCCCCCCGGTGCTAATGTCCTTGCACATTGCAAAACAATCCCAAATTCCCAGTGTTCCAGTCGCTGTCAGGGGGGTTCATTGGACTCTGGTCAAGTCTGGTAATTTATCACTGCCATTGGTGGGCTCATTACTAGTTGCACTGGGTGTATGTGTGTGAAATCAGACCACCTGAACTGTTGTCCTCTTTGTCACTGTTAATTTGAATCCTAAACAAATCAGCTTTCTATTAAGATGTTTGTTTTTGTTTGTTAGGAAAAGCACTGAAAAAAGACTTTATGTTGAATGTTCTACCTCAGATTGGTGAAATGATCTACTGTCTTGCAGGTGTTCATCATGTTCTGACCATAATGAACAGTTTAAAACACAATTAATAATACTTGTGTCGACTGACACGAAATTTTTGATCGTGATAACATTTTTGGCCATATTGCCCAGCCCTACTTAACAGTACTTCAGACTGTTAACAAAGCATACTACATATTCCAGATAGCTGTTGCTTCACTTACAGAGTTTCTTGAAATGTGGCTTAGCTGGGGGTCTGTTGCGGAATTGTACAGGGCTGTGTAGTCGAATCAAGTTACATTTGGACTTTGTTAATTGTGCTACATCTGCTCTGCACAGCGTGGAGCGGTACGACCCCAGCAAGGATGCCTGGGAAATGGTAGCCCCCATGGCAGATAAAAGGATCAACTTCGGAGTGGGTGTCATGCTGGGCTTCATATTCGTTGTGGGCGGACACAATGGAGTGTCACACCTGTCCAGCATTGAGAGGTATGATCCACATCAGAACCAGTGGACAGCTTGTCGGCCAATGAATGAACCACGCACTGGTGAGTAGACATCAAGTTTTAACTACAGATTTAAGGATTTAGAGGTGTATATAATTTGCTACATATGACCGTGACATTATCTTCCAGGTGTGGGATCTGCCATCGTGGACAACTACCTCTATGTGGTAGGAGGTCACTCCGGGTCGTCCTACCTGAACACTGTCCAGCGCTATGACCCTATCTCAGACAGCTGGTTGGACTCGAGCGGCATGATGTATTGCCGTTGCAACTTTGGTCTGACTGCCCTTTGACCTATGGCTCAGCCAGCTAGGACCCAATAAGAGAACTTAGACACAAAGATTTTTCTCTTTTGTTGTCGTCGTCTCCTCCTCCTTCCCCACATTCATCCTCCAGGTGCAGAGGTGCTCTGCACACCAACGTGCACACCAGAGGAGGGGGAGAGAGAGAGAGAGAGAGAGAGAGAGGGAGAGAGAGCCTGCTGGGTGGATGGATGTGCCGGGCTAGCTGGCTGGCTAGAGGGGGACCACAGACTGGCTGCTGAGATTAGAAAGCACTGTTAAAGTTTTGCGGGGGGGAAGGGGAAGATGATTGGATGGCTGTTGTCACGGGCAAGAGGAGACGACCGCTCTACTGCTGCTGGACCACAATGAGGACTCTGAGCCATTTCCCAGAGGATTGTGGGAGAAAACTTGTCACTTTTGTTTCAAAATTCTGTTGTGTTAGCAGACATCAAGGTGTGTGTTGGGGTGTGGTGTGTGTGTGTGTGTGTGTGTGTGTGTGTGTGTGTGTGTGTGTGTGTGTGTGTGTGTGTGTGTGTGTGTTTTTTTTTTTTTTTTTTTTTTTTTTTTTTTTTTTTTTTTGTGTCCTTCATGCCATTCATTGTTTTTAACACACACGCACCTGAAAACTAATTTTTATTTTGTTTTTCCTGCTGCAACTGGAACCATGTGTTCAAATTTTGTAGAACACTGCAGTTTGCTCATGTAGTGGTATGAATATGTGGTTGTTGGCCATGTAGTGTGGATGTCCGTGTGTATGTTTGAGGGGTACATGCATGTCAGATAGGATTGATTGTTTGTTTTGTTAGGTGTCTGTGTGCAGAACTGATGCTTGGGCTCAGCAACGCAGGAGTTCTGCATCAAAATCAGTGCTTCACAAAAAAGAGAAAAGTTGCATCTTTATATTATCTCAAAGGGCTGCCTTTTTCTCTCTTGTAAATAGTATAAATGAAATATATAGAAATGAATATATCTATCTCTAGTGCATTGCCTGTAAATGTTTTTCTGCACTGGTGGGGGGGGGGGGATGTGTGTTTGTAGTTTGATTTCAAGGGTCAGTGTAGAGGTGAACGACAAATTCTCCTACGAGCATTTGCCAGTAGTATCTGCTTCATCCTCGGAGCCATTTAAAAACCTCCATGTTTTGGCTTCTGTTACATCTTCCTAAGGTCAGGTCATGCACTTGCTACTCTTCACAATAGTGGAAATCGACCTTGGCCCTCTTTTCACCCTTTGGTCTGTACACAATACCAACTGGTGCTATATTTAGGATTCAGGATTCAGCTGTTTGTGTTGCCTCACACAATTAGGTCAGCCTCTTCTACATTACTGCGTTCGATGTTAGTTATTTGGTTTATGTGCATTTAAATACATAAAATTTAATAGCCCCAACCATGCAATAAAATATAGTCCTACTGAAAGGGAAGCTGTGGTTCTAAAAATTAGCACTGTCTGTTTTTATTTAAATTTCTTTCTTTAAAAAAATGTCCTCGCTGGCATTCCCTTTCCCTCACATTATCCCTGTTGCAGGATGTGAGCATGTATCGTTATCATCTCAATGCCTGTTCTCAGTGCAAAGTCACTCTCTTAATTATGAACAAGACTTTTCTGCCTGTGATAGGGCCTGACACCTGCTCTTTGCACTCACCAACTCATATGAACCTCATATGGCCATGGTCTTGCTTGCAAGCTCAGGTGTGAGGTAATTTGTTCACAGCTTCATGTGAAGTGCCAAAACATGACTCTTTTAAAAAAAATAAAAAAAAATAAAAAATCTGTCCCACCTTCAGTGCTAGAAACCTCTTCCCTGGTATGCCACAATTGGCGGGGCGGGGATCTTCTCATCCTTATTGGAACTATATTAGCATAACATCTTCTATGATGTCATATGGAGATGGATGGTAAAGCACCAAGGGCTGTGTTAAGCCAACTCAGGCCATGATGCCACTGTCACCAGTCCTGGGAGACAAACCGGAGTGCTCCCATGGGTGTGGGGGACTCCAGGTCAAGCAATGCGCAGCAATAGAGGGGGCACTAGACTACTAAAGGCTAGGCTAGGTGTCTTGTGTCTTGTTGAGTCACTGTTGATGTTCAAGTCTAGTTTGAGTTGCTTTGTGCACTGACGTTTGCACTTAAGTGGAAACTTTAACCAAGCTCTGCATTGCACTTACCAAACTATTTGATACATATTGTAATTTGTACATATGTTTTAATTTAGGACAATGGCATTTAGATAATGCAATAAGACTTCTGTTCTCTCTGTGGATGAATATGTTTTCGTGTTTGTCTCTAAAAAGCCAAGGCATCTCCTACTGCTGTAAAAGAACCCCACCTGGCATGTCTGTTGATTCACACTGTTGGCTGGTAATGTGGACAAAAATGTTATCATTGACTTTGTCTCATCCCACCACACATCTTGTGTTGTCATTTTGTTGTGCATGTTGGTTAATTTTTACAAGGCTTATGTTTGTTCAGGCAGATTCAGATGGATTGCTCACAATTTATTAATAAATGGCCAAATTTGATGTAAACAGCTTTAAAAAAACACAACAAAAACAATTCAGCTGATTGCACCACATACAAGTCTTGTAAACACTACACAGGACATGTGCTCTTCCATTTTACCCATGTACACTAGACTTAAACGTATTAATAAAATGCTAATGGAAACCATCACTACAGATGATAACCTTTTAACAACATTTGCCTTGCAAATTGGTCGGGATGTTGCGGGTGAGACATTTAGTTTGTTGCAGATTGTTTTACATCACCTTATATAGTACAGTACTCTCCTTTCGATTTCTGGTTTATTTTGAAAGAGTAACGCATTAACCAACCCAAGCGTATTTCTGCAAATATTTTATTTCAGAAAGATGTGAATGACTTATTTTGTATTTATAATTTGTATTGTTTATGTTCTGTAACCTGGTTTTGTTTGCCAATTCTGCTCTCTGTTTATTGTACTAGCTTGTGTTAGTCACTCAACAGCCGCAGCACAAATGACGCAGGCGTCATTGTGTGCTGCTGCCATGATTCATCTAGCATCAATGTTATGTACGATGTCATGATTTCTTAGGTGTATAGTAACTACTGCTTTAATGAATTTTGGAGAGATGCTGATGAAAATCTGCAAACGTGAATCTGCAAAAAAAGAAGAGAAAAAAAAGGGATGTTCTAATTGAGTTTGTACGTATTTTTATGATGGCCTAACCAATGTCATGTTTTGCCACCACTCTCACCAAAGTGCTTGTTCAAAAGAAAGCAGATGGACGACTAACACCTGTTCTGCAATGGACTACCACTCTCATGTTTGTGTCTGAAAGAAAACTCCTTTGAAACTGATGTCAATGTTTGCCAAATGACCACTCTGCTTCTTTTACATTTCCCATTGTGTGTCTGGAGTAAGGTGATTATCTTGAATTTTATATCCTGTGGATTAATACTGGAAGTACAAGATAACCTTAGGTGTAGAAACAGTAGCTTTTCACATTTTATCATGTTTTGATTGAAGACATTTTACATACACTTTAGTCTGCTTGTGTGGTGCAGTTGTACCCAGTTTAAAATAAATGCCTGCCTTAAAAGGTACATCTGCTTTTTTATGTGGCTTTTGTTATACCCATCCATGCAATGCACAAGTGCAACTAAATAAATCAATACAAGTGTAGTACAAAATATTTTGTATTTGCATTTTGCAGACAAATCTTGATCAAGGATTTATATTTCATAGGATTCACTTTTCCAAACTTTCCTTGGAAGAGGCACTGTGTGATACCTGTAATTCTTTGAGGTTAAAAACTATTTTTTTAAAAACATGTAAATCTACATATTCTTGTTTCGTTAACCGCCACGTGCTGAGCTAGAGTGTAATAATGCTTGCATCAGTATGGTCATGCTGCCAGCTTTGTGCCCTGCAAGACAAACGGGTAATATTTAAGCTTGTAGTGAAAGTTAAAATGAGATTTCACACTGCCCTTTTATACAGTTTAAGAACATTGTATCTAAACATTGACTCACTGTAACAAATGCTTGCCTCCAATTTAAACATCTTAACAAAAAAAAACTTTAAGACTTTAAGCTGACATGGACTTTGGCCTTGTTTGGTTATTGGTAAATGGAATACATAGAAAAAGCACCAATTTCATTTTAGGAAGGGGCTGATATGCATAAATGTAAAATTAGACTGCCAAAATTGTACACTTGTAATGTCATATACAGTCAGTGTCATCTCCGGTACAAGGCTGCTTTAAAGCAAATGCAGTGTAATCCATTTAACAACTGTGACATTTTTAAATCTTATCAATCTCCCTCGTCTGTCAGGTAACTGTATATGCATACAATGTGCATCGTTCACGGATACTGTCACGTATGCATATCAACCCAGAACTATTATAGTCCACTATATTCTTGGATTCCAAGCATGCCCAAAGAGAAGTCATTTCCATTTTGCTCAGTAAGCTCTCTGCAAGCATTCAGGTGAAATGGATGTATGTGCCATTCTACACCGCTAACAGAGGAAGCAACAGCTGACAGGAATTCATTAAAAAAAATGTGATGGTGTGCTATGTAAAAAAATATTACAACACTGTAATACCATCCATGGAGTCATGACAGAATAATCACAGGATGGGTGGTCAGTGCCTTCACTCTTGTGCTTGGTGTGACTCCACACCGGTGTGTCCGCTTGTGATAAGACTAGGTCACTTGTCAGAGGCGCGAATGTAGACCAGAGAGGACAGCAGCAGCAACTCTGGTGGCTTGTATAGCAGGATCAGATTGTCACTCCTCAGACCGTCATAGTGCATCCAGCAGCCGTCTATCTGGAAGGCTGCAGAGTAGTGATGCTCCTCTTTGTTGAAGAGTGTGGCGCCCTCTAGTAAGTACCTGTGGAGAAAAAGAGTTAATACCGTTTTCTTCATACTGTCCAGGAAACTCAAAAGTAAAAAAAAGAAACAAATGTATGTAAATTCAGTGCTGGATGTCATATATAACAATTTTTTTAATCTTGTGTTTTTCAACTGAGAAATATTTTTTAAATTAACTTTCTTCTTGTTTGCCGATGTGGAGAAAGTCACCTTGCTTTTGCATTTCTTATTGCTTAGACTACTAGCAGTTTTCCTGCCTCAGGTATGTCTCTATTCTCCAACTTATACAAACTAAACACAGCAGCTAAGATTATTTGTGTAACAGAAAAACTGGATTTTATTAGATTTCCATTTACTGTGGTGGCTTGAGGCTTGCACTACGGTGTGGCTAAAGCATGGAACTGTATACCAAGCCAATAGAAACACACTGTGGAGAGCGCCCTACCTGTGCTGGCAGAGAGCCAGATGGTAAGGAACATAGGACAGTTCCTCTGACTTCCACTGCTGCATGTTGAGAATGACAAAGGGTGGGGGTCCATGGCAGAAAACTCTCTGAGAGAACTCCCGTAGACCATCACACCTGTTAAAAAACATAAGGATCACTTTTTGAAGGAAGTGATGTACGACTGAACCGAAATAGAAGATGACAAACACCCTCCTCATGTCTCACCCCAGTTCTGAGCAGAGCAGGAGCTTGGGGCAGAAGAACTCGTCCACGGCTGATTGAATGGGGTCTCTGTGAGGCAGCTCATTTGGTGGGCTAGAGGAAGGTCACAGGAGTGAAATCACAAGATATGAAAATCACGTAAACCATCCAACAACACTTTGGGAACTAGAACTGACCTACTTTGTAAAAAGAAAACAAGTACAAAGACAATTCAACACTGCAGAACAACACTAGATGAAGACTGGCACAACCCTGGTCTAAGTCCTGACACACCGAATCTCTGCTAATGTTCACAGGAGGAAGCTGGGAAAAACTGCATCAAGTTCCCTTTGTAGCATCAGGATAGCACACTGCCTGTATGCAGTATACCTGATGTTGATTGTGGTCTTGATGAACTCCTGGAAGCGGGCTGGGCAGCACCAGTTAGTGCAAAGACTCTCCTGCATAGTGGACATGAGGTTATCCAGGTTTTCTGTGAAGTTCTCATGCTCATTCCCGAACAGGTCAATCTCCAGGGCCGCCTGGTGGATCTCAGAGCGATACTGTCTTTTAGACATCCTGTCCCAGATCCACAGAATCTTCACTGTGGTGTAGTCACAGGAGTCCATCAGGTGGAGGAAATGCTCCACAAAATGTTTGCCCAGGAAGACTGCCAGCTCCCTGGGAAAGCCCTGGTTGTCCCGCAGAATCACATACAGGATCATGAGAAAGCCGTCAATGGTGCAAGTGTTTTTAAGGTTGATTTTGACGTACAGAGGGGTGCAGGATATGGCCTTCCGTCCTGCCTTGATGGTAAAGACGCCACCCCACGGGAGCACAGGCCTCCAGAAGGAGCGGTCCTCTTCGTCATTGTTGTTTATGGAGGCGCGGATTTCTTCAAATAGCGTCTTCGACCTAAAGAGACACACATGAGTTAGCAGATGAGCTGGTTTGAACGCTGATGGACATTGGACTGTATAATTTTAAGAGACGGCGGCGTTACCACTAGCGTTAATAGAGGCTACGCAAACAGACTTGCAATAACAAAACAAGCCACGCATTGACGAGTATTGCCCAGTTGTCCTCCAGGGAATACACATAGCCCAAAAGCACATCAAAATTAGCAGCGGCTATGAATTTACCTTTCGAAGAGGAGTTTGTTCTCGGTGTTTGATATTAGCGTTTGGAGGTCTTCGTTGTCGCTCAAAACACAGAATCCACTCTCCATAGCTCTCTGTGTTTCTTCATGTCTTCACTTACATCGGACTTAAAGCCAGATATCAGAGTATAGTATTTTCTAGCACTTTCTGGTAAGTACCTGAATGGTGATTAATCAAAACGATCCCGATCAAACGTCAAATTGGGCCCATATAAACACAGCTGTGTTTTTTGTGACGGATAATCTAAGCGGTGTGTAAATACAGTGCTGCCCTCTGCTGATTCTCGGCGTAATTACGTCCTCTGAAGTCCCGCCCACTCACCCACCCGCCCGTGGGTGGTGTAGCAAAACTGGGAATGCTATTGGCTTTGAGGTTCCTCTAACGTGTGGTATTAGGTATATGATTGGCTGTCAGTGTTAACAGTCTGCCAATAGCCCCGCCCAGAGCCGTACTTCTCCGTCGTCATGCCCGTCATGCCCAGCAGCGACGCTACGTTTTACGCTCGACGCAATTCCTGAAAGTTAATACGCTCTCTTTCGGCGGTAGCGCTTTATTTGCCATAAACTTAACTTTTTGACACTACTCGCCGCGCTCCTCTCGTCAGGCAGTGAGTGTGCCGCAGACACACCAGCACCCCTACAACACGGATTTTCAGCACCAAAAGATGTCGGCTCAGATCATTAGTGGGAAAGAGGTTTCGGCGTAAGTATCATATTGTATCAAGCACGTTTGTGGATGCTCACATAACCGAGTTGGGTTAAGTTACTAGCCTGAAGAAACGTGTCTGTTTACTGGCTAACTAACGTTAGGCAGCTAACTATCCATCTGATTCACACTTGAGTCACCACTAACTTCTGTACATGATCCAGCCTTATGCATATTTTCCATGCAACTGTTATGTATTTAAAGACACTGGTCTTGCAAGGAGAAAACGATTTTCATAACTCAGACACTGAATTGGTGGCACATGATGCTATCCACGTGAATGAAGTGTGCCAGCGGTTTTCACTATTAACGTTACTTGTGGATAACCAGCTATGAAATCACAGTGGACTCTTTCTCAAGTTTGCATGGGATATTTGTTTTCTTACAGTTGCGTAGATGGGTCTAAGTCATATATGTCTAAATGTTTTTTCACTAAATGTAATGACTTTTGTCTGTGAAATTTACAATTTGACGGTAATTCATAAGGTTGGATCATTCAAAACTGGATGGTTGCAAGTCCTGCAGCATTATGTAAGAAGCTGTGGTGATATGATCTTTGTCCTATTGGTCCAGTGTTCTCAAGTGGTGAGACTGACAGTGGTGAAACTTTTGTCTAATCCTGCATTTGTCACTGTTTTCATATTTGAGTACAATCTGCAAATGCATTTCTTATGTTTTTAATACTTTTGAATTAATCCAAATATTGGTTATTACCAAAAGTTTGGGCAGGGGGAGGCAGGTGTAAGAGCAAACTATATTTGGCAAAGAGACAACGAAGTGCAGTACATTTAGTTGCATGTGCTTGTCACAAGACATGGCAGCCTGCACCCTGTTAACTGCCCCTCACAGTACTCATTAGTTCAATTATTTAATGCAACACAAACCACAGATCTGCTGGGCCTTCAGCAGGAGGCTATACATTTATTATCGCTGAAGTTTGACGAAAGCTGACATGCCATTGATTATTCTGGACAAGTGATTTGTATGAATGTACATACATTGTTTAGGCAAGGCAACTTCATTTCTAGGTGAAAGATTTACAATTTTTAAAAATGCCAAAGTTCAGTCAATACAAGAGAAAAACATTTAAAAGTTAAACTATTTTTTTTATTTAAACCATTTTAAATCGAGTGAAAATAAAAGATGGAAGAACACAGCAACCCTCCCCCATTTAGAACAATAACTGTCGATGTAAATTAAGAAAAATTAAAAAAAATCTAAATAATGCTATTTAAATGCAAAGCATAGTTTGTTTTTTGTTTTTTAGCTATTACTGGGTAGAGTAGGCAGAGTAAAATAGAAAGGCTTTGAGCTTTTATTTGAATATGACCTTTGTTAATCAGTGACCTCAAATTAAGATCTACATGCCATTTTATGAGCTGCCATTGTGATTGTGGATTGCTGTGCAATATGTTATAATGATTGTTTTTATGAAGTCTGGCGATGATGTATATTTTTATTGTTTATCCCTGGGTAAAAAAATAAAAAGCAGCATAGTGCAGGTCATATGTAAAACAAATCTACCTAAATAACAAAGTTTAAATAGCACGTCTAAGTTTTATATTATTTATTTACATGTTATGTATTAAAATATGTATTTTGTCATTGTTTTCCTCTGCATCCTAACCTTTAGAAGGGCTGAAATGTTATTGTCTTTGTCTTATGCCTGGTGTTTGTAATGGGAAATGAAAGCATTAACATCATCCATGGTTCTGATTAAGGATTTCAGAGCACGCTATGAACCTTTGGACAAACATTTTAGAATATAAAACACTAGTTTTGCCACAGACACCAGGCCACAAACACTGTTAAGTCTGTTGTCCCTCCATTGTTCCATGCATCCATAATCAATAGTAATCACATGGTGCATCCCATCACCACTGCCAATGAAGTTCATGTGATGCATAAAGACTGTGTGTTAAACACAAACAGTCTGTGTAGATTTTTCAGTAGCTCTGTTCTTTTTCTCAGGTCAATATAGCTGATTAGTTGTGTGATTGATTGTGTGAATAGAACACAAAAGAAATGCAATCAGAGTTGAGCTTTGTTAAGACAGACATGATAAATCTTAAAATAGATTCTAATTGCTCTGAGTTAAAGTCCAGTAACTTTGTGTCCCTGTTGTCTGTCTTATCTTTGATTGGTTGACTTTGCTTAATCTATGTGTTATGGGAACAGTTGAGCTAAAAGTGCCATAACCAAACCATTAAACGTATAACAATAAAGATAAGGACCTGGCTCTGCAATGAAAATGATTACCGATTTCACAACGAGATAGCCAGATGTCACGTATTTGGGCAGAAAATCTGTAACCAAAGGAAAGAAAAGAATTTGGCCTGTGGCTTGAGCACCGTAGGTCCTATCCCTTTCCTATTTTAATGGTGCACCTGTCACTGCATAGAGATAAAAAAATACAGCTGGGTTTTATTCTGTTGTGTTGTGTTCTCAGGCAGGTCAGGGAGCGTCTGAAGAAGGATGTGGAGCAGATGAAGCTTCAGGACCCCAACTTCAGACCTGGTCTAGTAGTTTTACAGGTAAATATAAGACGTGTAAAGCTCATTTTGTGGATGTTTTGTTCGCTAGTTTTGCCCCTGCATGGATACAGTCATACAGACATGCAAAGTGATGCTGTGTGTCTTTGCAGGTTGGAGACCGCGATGATTCAAACCTGTACATCAGCATGAAGTTGAAGGCAGCAGCAGAGGCAAAAAGACCTTTTTTTTCTTTTTTTCTTTTTTTCTTTTTTTATATCCAAGGGATTTATACACAGTATGTACACCATACTTCTACTGTACACTTTATGGCCTAATCTTTTCTTCTTTGTACACAGATTGGAATAAATGCCACACATATGAGACTTCCCAAGACTGCAACAGAAGAGGAGGTGAGACTGGATTTGAAGTATTAGCATAGCCCAGTCTTTTATATGTCTATTTGTGGGGTGGCGCAGTGGATAAGGCGCTTCTACCAATTTCCAAGCAGTTAACCTCCTGAGGCGTGCAACCTCTGACATGCCCACAGATCCCAAAATTTCACAGCTGATGTTTTAAAACTCAACATGGTTGTGGGATATGGGGTGCTATTGGTGCCATAACGAAACAAGGTTTCGTAAATGACAAACCGAAAGTACCTGAGGGGTAAAAGCTCTCTGTCTGTCTGTAGGTACTTCACAGTATCACAGAGGTGAATGAGAACTCGTCTGTCCATGGCCTCATCGTGCAGCTGCCATTAGATTCTATCCACAAGATGGACACAGAGAAGGTCACCAACGCCGTGGCCCCAGAGAAGGATGTTGATGGGTAGGCACAAAGAAAAAATCTCACTCGGTCATATTAATTGTTAGAATTCCTTAAAGGAGCTGTATGTGAAATTCACTGCCACTAAGTGTTGCACTGGAGCACCAGCGCCTCGTAAAAAAACAAATGGGTGCTATGGCCCACCAGACTCCATTGAGGAAAAACTGGAATTTAACCTTGCAGATCATCATAAAATACACTTAATTCCAACTGGACCGAAACAAAATAAAACTCACAAACACCGTCTTTGTTAGTCTTTCCAGTGTTCCAGCAATCACCAGCTCTGGTGTAGTCTAAACAGACCATAAATTCACTGAAATATTCTGGCTCTATGCCTCAGCGGGTAACTGTGAAACGGGCTGCAATGGCTACAATTTAATCCTTGCAGACAAATGCACCCGTCAAAGTAGCCTACATCCACTGAAAGTGCAACATGAGACATTATGGAAAGGATCCCTAGAGAGACCTTTTTAGACCAGCCACTAGACTGTTGAAAAAATAATTGTACCAAGAGGATCATTGTTGAACACACTTCATTCAAGCTGGACAGGAACAAAACAAAACTCACCAAAACTGGCGTTAGATGACAATACAAACATCCATTGTATATGTAAAGCTTCACAGCTTGGGTGTCACATGCACTAACGTGCACGAGCGCCCAGACTGGCTACCAAAAAAAAGAGATGAAGAAGAAGCTCGAATGACAACACACAAACTCAGAGGGAGGGAATGTTCAGAATCTCATTTACAGAACCTTTAATTTGCAGTGTTCAATGTGTTCCGGTCTGTTTACAGACTGACCAGCATAAATGCGGGGAAGCTGTCTCGTGGGGACCTGGGTGACTGCTTCATCCCCTGCACACCGAATGGCTGCATGGAGTTAATCAGACAGACTGGTAAATGCAACAACTGACACCCTGAAACATCTGTTGCCCAGCAAATCAGTGTCTGTGCTGCACAATAATAATAATATGAGAAAGAACTGCATAAGGCCAAAATGAATTGACGGCCCGACCGCTTCTCTGCAGGTGTGTCTGTGGCAGGGAAGAGAGCGGTAGTGATTGGGCGCAGTAAGATTGTGGGTGCACCGATGCATGACCTGCTGCTGTGGAACCACGCCACCGTCACCACCTGCCACTCTAAAACCGCTGATCTCCCTGGAGAGGTAAAAGAGTAACACCTTCACCCAACCCAGCAATACAGTCTCAGGATAGCATCGGTTGGTGATGACATATTGGGAATTAAAGATCTCTGCTGCCCTTGTGTGGCATAAACAATAACAACATGTCTTGCCAGATTTTGAAAATGACTAACTCTCATAAAATGAATGTCCACCAAGCCTAGCACCATTGTTACACATGGTAGTCTTCTATTCCTAAAACATTCATGTCCATTGCTGTTTCTGTCCAGGTGGGCAAAGCAGACATCCTGGTTGTCGGCATCGGAAAAGCAGAGATGGTGAAAGGAGAGTGGATCAAGAAGGGAGCGGTGGTCATCGACTGTGGCATCAACCACATACCAGGTTGGACTCTGCACTCTCCTGAAGCTTTTCAGTCTACTTTGGAGGTTCATCAGTTGAAGTCATAGGGGATTGTGTGGTATTTAACTCTTTTTCTTTGGATTCAGATGAGACTAAACCAAGCGGGAAGCGGGTGGTGGGCGATGTCCACTACGCCTCAGCCAAGGAGCAGGCCGGCTTCATCACCCCTGTACCCGGTGGTGTAGGACCCATGACTGTGGCCATGCTGATGGCGGTAAGGTCAATGCGGAGACTGCATCCTGAGCTGAATTTAATGTTTGCATTAATTTAGCTTTTTCAGAAAGTGTCAGGGGCGTGTTGTATACATCACAGTAGTTATCAGACCTGACGAATAAATATTATTAATTCATGACTAAATCTGCTCTTTCAGTTATTTTGTCACGACTTGCTTCAGTGCTGCAGCAAGTGCATTTTTATTGCAGCTTCAAGACATTTTCTTATTTTCACTGCAAGAATAATTTTATTATGTATTAACACAGTATATAAGGTTGAAAAAATACATCACACAGTGTGTGTGTGTGTGTGTGTGTGTGTGTGTGTGTGTGTGTAGAACACCGTATTGAGCGCAAAGCGTTTCCTGGAGAGCCATCAACCAGGGATGTGGAACATTTCTTACACCAAACTCAGCCTCCAGAAGCCGGTGCCAAGGTTTGTCTCCTTACCTTCCCCCTTCTCTAACCCTAACCCTTTTCTTGATAGTCATGTGCGCCGTTAACTTGTCATGGAAGGATTTGTTAAATTCAATAATCCACAGACGAGCTGGTTTAATGGCTTGCCTCACGTTTGAACAGTGTGCTTACATTGTTGAAGGAAATTGTGTTATTTGAATAATCAGGGCTAAATACCTACCTGTGTTTTGTTTTAATCCAAGAACACGTATTACTTGCAAAACCTGTGTGTGTTAAGTTAAATCATAAGAAAATATGAAGCACTGATGATATGAAGTATAGTTGAGCACACCAGCATTTAAAAAGACAACAGTCATTCATACAAGAAGATTGACATGACCAGAGTTGTGTTTTTGTGAGGAAGAGGATGAGAGCATCAATACTGGACATTGGAGCCCTGATGCCAGAAAGTAGGGGATAGTTTCGTAGCGTAATGACACACGATGCATGCCTCAACATCACACCAATGACAAAGTTCTGTGTCTGAGTTTATTATTAGCCAACCAGAAGCATCACCCAATCAGGAGGATCTTAGTATGAAAGGTTTAAAGACTGATGCCTGGAGAAATGTTGCTATCCTGCATTCTGACTCCAAATCCTTCGTATTCAAGATTTATATTGTACTTTCTACAATCTGAAGAAGAAATTACTTTTTACTAAAGTATTTACGAGTTTCGGTCTTCTGTATGTCAGTGTTAGGTTCCCACGTACCTGATAGCGGTCATTTATTTAACAATAAGTGATTTTGTGCGTTGTCTCTATTAACAGTGACATCGTGATTTCCCGCTCCTGTGTGCCCAAGCCCATCGACCGTCTAGCCAGAGAGGTGGGCCTGCTCTGTGATGAGGTGGAGCTCTATGGCAAGACTAAGGCCAAGGTCCAGCTAAATATCATCAAACGCCTGCAGGCCCAGCCAGACGGCAAATATGTGGTGGTCACCGGGTATGCTGTCAGCACTCTTTATATGCTGTGGGAAAATGTGTTATTTTATACTTTTAAGTTTCAGTTTGTACATAATGATATGCTGACAGTGTCAGAAAAATGTCACCTGCCAAGAGCTGGTTAAGTTGACCTCCAAAAGTCAACTTAAGAAGTCAAATCAGTTTATTATTTACAATATATTTTTTTTCTGTTCTAGAATCTGGCAGTGTGTGATAATTTATTGCTTTACAGTTGATCAATGCTGGGCAAAAACAATAGCGCTATTTATTATCTTAATAGAATGTTATAAGCAATATAGAACCATTTAATCCCTACCTGTGTTTGTAATGCTACTTTCTTTCATATCACCTGGCAACTTTACACAGCTAACCAAGTTCATGCTTCGTCGTGCCATGCAGCAGATTTTAAAATGGCAAAAGATCTTTTTAACGTGTACTCCTCGCCACATGTTCTGTTGAATTTACCTGCATTAATTGATCTGCCAAAGCCAAATTCTATTGTCATTTGGTGCTTGGTTCATCTCTGGCCCTGCTGATGGAGATTTTCTATCTGCAGAATTACACCCACCCCTCTGGGTGAAGGAAAGAGCACCACCACCATCGGCCTGGTCCAGGCCCTGGGAGCCCACATGAAGCTCAATGTGTTTGCTTGTGTCCGACAGCCCTCTCAGGGACCCACGTTTGGCATTAAAGGTGAGCTTTGGAATAATGCACACCCAGTGACTGGTTGCACAGGTGTGCTGGTATGAATCTGTAGTTTTGTCTTCTGTCTACAGGTGGTGCTGCGGGAGGTGGATATTCTCAGGTCATTCCAATGGAAGAGGTACAATGCTGGTTCAAGTTAAAAACTGTGCTGCTTGTATAAGAATGCAAATTGCATTTAATTAATTAATTATTTAATTTGTTCATTTTAGTTTAACCTCCATCTCACCGGTGACATTCATGCCATCACTGCTGCCAACAACTTGGTGGCTGCTGCCATCGATGCTCGCATGTTCCACGAGGCTACACAATCTGACAAGGTTGGTACTCCGTTCAGTGATGTATTAAAAAAATCCAACTTTTGCAAGTTAATTAATGGATTGTAACTATTATCTTGATCTCTGTGTGCATCTTTAGGCTCTGTATAACCGCTTGGTCCCGCTCAGTGGAGGACAGAGGACGTTCTCTCCCATCCAGCTCAACAGACTGAAAGTAAGTGATCGTGTCACAGACTTGTAAGTTTTGACTTGACTCGCAGTCCAAAGTACAGCAGACATTTAAGTTTTCTGCATTTGTTTAGAAACTGGGCATAGAAAAGACGGATCCCTCCGCTCTGACTGAAGAAGAGATCACCCGATTTGCACGCCTGGACATGGAACCAAGCTCTGTCACCTGGCAGAGAGGTATGAACACCTGAGACGCCTCATTAAATTTGCTGCATGCATGTAAGTGAGTGTATTGACCAGGGATTCTCAGTTTTTAACTGTAACTTATTTTTAAGACAGGTGTGCTTGCGTTCGATTGCTAAAAGATACTGACCTTAAATAACCTCGCTTACGCAGGTTAGAAGCACATTAGTAACTTACGCGCCTGGTGCCTGTGATCTATAAATCTCAAATTAACTTTAAATTGACAGCACCTGGCTTACAATCAGTGATTTCCCCTCACTAGCACAAATGAGGGTTTACTCAGGAATAGCCATTGACCAAAAGAGAAAAGGAAACTTTTTGGAAGACAAGATCAAAACTATTACTATTATTTGGTTAAATAAAGGTTAGAGAACTGAGCTTGTGGGTCGTCTGTTCAGACTCTGGTTGTTCTGGGCAGTTTGAATGTGTAACTGTGCGAATGGGATCAGCACGTTCCTGTGAAAGAGAGGCGTCCTCTCAGTGAAACTTCCCAGAATAAATAAAAGGTTAAATAAACTAACTAAATAAAGGGTGGACAACAAAAGCCAAACACTTAGCTTGGGAGTGTCTCTCAATTAATTCCTCGCATCTTTTTGGTAATTGTTCACATTGATGACATTATTCAATGAAGCTAATGCAAAGTTCACAACAGGGCAACTGCAACACCCCTGCACAACCAGCAGGGATATTACTTACATCAAGTCTAGACTTTGTTTAAAGATAATTTAGACGCCCAAGTAAGGTTTTAATAACTACTTATATGTAGTTTTCTGTATAAGTTAAGATCAAAATTGATCATTAGTCAGTTTTATAAATGAGCCCCAGACTTTATATACAGCTAACAAAATGTGGTGGTCCTTGTGTCAAATCAGTGTTGGATACAAATGATCGATTTCTGAGGAAGGTCACAATCGGCCAGTCACCAACTGAGAAGGGACACACGAGAGAGGTAAAGAGATAAGCTCCACATCTATAATACACATGTAATTCATTTAACAACAAAACTAAAGTCCTTGAGGATAGGACTCTCCCAAAAAAAAGTTAATCTCAGAAAGCAGATTTCAGCGCTTTTAGCTTTTCTGCTTGTGCCAGTCATTGTTGTTAATGATAAGGGGACATTCCCTCTCTCCGTCCTCCAGGCCCAGTTTGACATCACGGTTGCCAGTGAAATCATGGCGGTGCTCGCCCTCACCAGCAGCCTGGCGGACATGCGCCAGCGTCTTGCCAAGATGGTCGTGGCCACCAGCCGCAGCGGACAGCCCATCACCACCGAGGACCTGGTCAGTAGTCTGGAGTCTCCTTCATGACGGGACCTTCTGTATCAAGTATTGTGGAAACCAGCCTCCTATAATGTAATGTTTTTCTCTGTAGGGTGTGAGTGGTGCTCTAGCTGTGCTAATGAAGGATGCCATCAAGCCAAACCTGATGCAGACCTTGGAGGTGGGTGAAACACGCGCTTACCTTTACAGTTCCTCTCAAAAGAACTTTACACACCAAAGACCGTGCGAGAGCACCTAGAACTTTAATCAGGTTAGGAACATGTGTGTTTATAGTTTTAGACTAACAAAAAAATCTTACAAGCTTTGAAAGTTCAGATGTTCTGGTTGTTTGTTGTTGTGGCTCCTTTTATTTTTTGCTAAATCTTTTTGTGATCCAAACCTCGTGTGTGCCAGAGGGGTGACATTGCATTGAGTTATGGGTTTTGTGTCACATGTGTGTTGTCTGAATCCACAGGGAACCCCTGTATTTGTCCACGCTGGCCCGTTTGCCAACATCGCCCATGGCAACTCCTCCATCCTGGCTGATAAAATAGCGTTGAAGCTGGTTGGACCCGAGGGCTTTGTAGGTAAGCTGAGCTGAGAAAATGTCTCTATCTTGGCATGTTTGCATCATGCCTGATCTGGTACTGCAGTGCTACGGTAGGTGGCAGCAGATGGCAGATATTAGATTCTATTAGATATTTCTCACAGCTGTCATTTTGTTACTGTTCTCTTTGTCTCCCAACCCCTGTCAATTGTCTCCCAACAGTGACGGAGGCTGGCTTTGGTGCTGACATTGGCATGGAGAAATTCTTCAACATCAAGTGCCGTTACTCAGGCCTGAGACCCCACGTTGTGGTGCTGGTGGCCACTGTCCGAGCCCTGAAGATGCACGGAGGAGGACCAACAGTGAGTTTGCTCAAGTTTTCCCCTCAGTATCCTAATAACAAAATATTTACTTTAGTGATTTTTATTTAGAAAACAAAAAACATGTGCTTTTACATTTTTTATGTTTAATTTTATGTGATATTTTCATTTCTCCATTGTTAAGTCTGAAGATAACATCAGCACAATAAGTATTTCCTCTGCACAAAACAATGTCTCACCCTCCCTCAGGGAAAGCACACTGCAGGGAGTGTAATTGCAAAGCAATAACTCACCTCTTCATTCATGCAGTTGTTAGCTTCTTAATGATCCTGAACCCAACAGTTGAGGGAAACGGTTCACCTGCTAGAGAATGTGCCCCATGCACAAGGCTAAAGTCTGCAGCCGCCTGGGTTTGCTGTGGCCCTTTGCTGCATGTCACCCCCCTCTCTCTCCCCCCTCCCACATTTCCTCTATCTCTTTTCAGCTGTTCAAATTCACATTACATTTTTTTTTCTTTTTGTTCAGGTCACTGCTGGGATGCCGCTGCCTAAGGAATACATTGAGGAGGTAATGCATAAACACAGCCTACCAAAGTGTGGTTTTTATTTTAACTTAATCGTGTAAATTAACATCAGGTAATCAACGTTGTGTATTTATTAGGTTTTACCGAGGGCCTAAGACAATTCCGCATGAGGTGCCGCACAGCACCTCAAATTTAAAATCTTTGTTAAAGCAACACCTTTTATAAGCATTATATGTGGACTGAGAATTGCTGCTAACTACCTTCTCATAAGCTTATTTAAACGTGTGTTTATGTGTAGAACCTGGAGCTGCTTCAGAAGGGCTGCAGCAACATGAGGAAGCAGATAGAGAATGCACAGCACTTTGGCGTACCAGTGGTGGTGGCGGTCAATGCTTTCAAGTAAGTGATGGATGATAACACAGTAGAAATTGACAAATGATCCATTTCACACACAGATACAGAGAACTTTTATTTATTTTATTTCACTTAAACCTCCACTGTCAATATTGTTTTTATTAATAATGGATCAAATAACCATGTCCAATGTGAAAAGGGTGTCTTTTAGAGATTATCAACCAACTCGGCAGTTAATGCTAATGTTGCTCAATGTCTGCTGGATGTTTACATGCACAAATTTGAGGCTGTCGATTTCCCTCGTTTCCTTTTGGATGAAAGCGTCTGTGTCTGTTGATCTCCAATGCATTTTTGCTGCTCTGACCCCTTCTGCAGGACAGACACTGAGGCCGAGCTGGACTTGGTCTGCACCATGGCCAAAGCTGCCGGAGCCTTCGACGCTGTGCGCTGCTCCCACTGGGCCGAGGGTGGAGCCGGTGCGGTGGCCCTGGGTCAGGCTGTCCAGAGGGCCTCTGGGGCCCCCAGCAACTTCAAGTTCCTCTATGATTTGGAGGTATGGGATCATTTGCATTTTCTGTTGTTCGTTTTGCTATTCACTAGGTATTTCAAAATTGGTTGAGGTTAAGTATGTGAATGAATTTGCCAGAAAACATTTATGTTATTATATTTGTAAATGTCTGTAAAGGAGAATAAAAATGTCAGCCATACTTAGGATAAAAAAAAGTAGTTCACATCCACTGAGAAATGCCCTCTGGCACATGCATCCAGTTGCTCAGAGAAAATGGCCTCCTATATTTGGGCCCTAACATTTTGTTTGTTTGGCGTTAGTGGGCCAACATGTCAATTTAAGGACTACACTGACAGCAGTGTGTATATTGCTAATTCCACTCTAGCTCCCAATTGCTGAAAAGATTCGAATAATTGCCCAGAAGATCTACGGAGCTGATGATATTGAACTTCTCCCAGAGGCTCAACACAAGGTGGAGCTCTACACCAAGCAGGTCAGCAACTCTCCTAGCCGATTAGTTTCTTTCATGTATCTTGTCAGGACTGTTGGCTGTTTGTTTATCATCATTAGTGGAAGGAGAATACTCTAGTAGGCCCTTTGTAAAAGATCTAACTTTTTTTTTCTTTGTTCCCACTTCTCCCCTTAGGGTTTCGGCAATTTACCAATCTGCATGGCTAAGACTCACCTGTCGCTATCTCACGAGGCAGACAAGAAGGGTGTGCCCAAAGGTTTCATCCTGCCAATCAGAGACATCCGAGCCAGTGTGGGCGCTGGCTTTCTGTACCCGCTGGTTGGCACGGTAAGCTTTCATTAATGTCGGAACAAAACTTTAAAAAACCTGTTTGCTTTGCACAGTTTTGCAGCAGATTCACGTCTGGGAGGCATTAAAGGTATCACATCAAAATGTACAAAACTGGATTTTAAAATCCTATTCATAAAAACAAACTGTGACTTGTATTCACTCAACACCGCTGTCTTTCAATATTTTCATTAAAATAATTACCACGCATCGCACATTGTCAGCTTTGTTGTAAACACGCACTGCTGTAATCAGTGTGACAACGTCACGCTTTAAAGGTCATGTTTGTCCAAAACCCAAAGAATGAAAATTAAAACAACAAAACTTCACATTGGCAGAGCTAAAACCAGCAAATACTTTTTTCCATAATTGATTTAAACAATACATCAGTTGAAAAAGTTGTTCGTATAATAACAATGATAATAATAATACATTAAACAACTAATAATTTCAGCTTTAAATCTAACCCTGCTATACAGGAGATGCATTTCATTGTCGATGCATTTAAAATTAGTAATAAGTCTCGTGGCATCACCTGAAATTCATCATGTATCTCTGCAGAAGTTGTTTGTGTCTGTTTCTTTTGCTTGGCTCAAAGGCTGCATTGTATGTGTGTACAGTATACCAGAAGTTACCTTTTTTGATATAATGTCTTTTATGATGGGGATTATATAAACCTCTTTCACTTGCTGTTCCTCCTAGATGCCCACAATCCCAGGTCTGCCCACCAGGCCTTGTTTCTACGACATTGACCTTGACCCTGAGACGGAACAGGTCAACGGGCTCTTCTGAAGCAGGGCTCTGCACTGTATGATGGTAAGGAAGGAATACATACAGATGCCAATCTCAAACTGGAGTTAGCAGGCTCGGGTGCTAACTGAGCCTTAATGAAATGTGATGTACTAATAACTAGAAACGCTTCGAGCTCCTCTGTCGTTTTTCCCTCTCACTGATATCTGTAAATAATTGATTTGCTTTGCCCAGATGGCTGCTGAAGGGTAAATCAAGAAAATTTATCACAGAACAGTTCATCCCCCTGAGATTGATTGATAGACCTTTTTGTAAAGGGGACATGTCCTATTGACAGTTCTTACAGCTACGTTGCTCTCTGCACATAAACAAGCCCCACGTGTATTTTCCAGTGGCAATAATAATCCTAGATGCTTAAGTGGCAGATCTGGAGGCTTGTGGTAACTAGTTGTGTATATTTTGTGTTCACTACAAAATGAGCATCTCCTCCAGGCCGTTGACTTTAACAATCCACTGAATTGTGTGTGCTTTGGAACAAATCTATTACAAAAAAGGTCTGAACATAAAAATAATGCTGCCCTACAAAATGTTTTATAATATTTTATTTCTGAGCAATCTTGTGTCTATTGTCAAATTTCCTATTTTGCCTGTCTTGTTTTCGAACTGAATCCTCTCTAACCTAGCTGGAGCAGTCGCCACTACTGGGAAAGTGTCATGTTGTTGTAAATCAGTGGTCAAATAAAGTGTCCTTGAAGCCACATATCAAACCCATTTCTGAAATGTGAGATGTTTTTTTTTTTTTTACTGTATTTCTTGAACCTGTTCTTAGAAATTACAATTTGCTGTCTGTCACATTATTCTACCACTTCCATGCCTTCCTTTGCAGTCAGTATTAGTTTTATTATTCCCTCAGACCATCAGGATAATGGTCTGACTTTGCCTGTGCGGGTGTACACTTTTCTTATTGAATACTGCCTATAAATGTGAAATGTTGTGTTTTTTTTTTTTTTTTTTTAACACGATCAAGAACTGAAAAGATTGACTTTAACATTTATATATAATAATTATATATATTATAATTCACTTTTTACTTTTCTCTTATAACTGTTGTTGCCTTCTTTCCCCCTCATATTTGAATTGTTATTATTGCACATTAGCCTTTCAGCGCATCATCTAGAGTATACCACATTTCACTGCACACAAATAGGCCTATGTAGTATGTGACAAATACATCTTTGAATCATTTGTACAAGTGCTGCTTGACTGCTGATGCTGTGTGATCACATGCTGGGAACAAACTGCACAAATGCAAAATGACTGTAGAAGGTTTTTCAGCTAAAAATCACACAGTAATCAGGAAATGGTTTCTAAAATGCATTTAATGATAACAATATGGCATCATTTGGGAAATTATCCTATTTTTAAAGGGGGATATTTCATGTCACTGTTGGTGGGGACAGTAAAACAAACTCAGCTGGAGATTTTTAGAAATCAAGTGGCTGAGGGTCTGAAAAAGGTAGGCAGCAGAGGCATATGAGGGGAGAGGACATAATCTTTCAAAATATAAAAACCAGATTGGACTCCTAGTAGAGAACAAGAGTTGTTAACAATTTATGTACCAAATACATGGATTAAATGCTAATGGACAGTGGTTGGATTTAATTCTTTTGATCAGAATTATTGCTACCAGTAGTCACTGGATATTAGGGACCATCCCTACTAAACTCTACCTCCTTGAATTTGATTAAAAACACTACAGGTTTTTGCCTGATTAGCAGAGAAAAGCAAAAATGCAGCAGGTTTTTTCCTTTTCCTCCGTCTTAAGATGACTGTTAAGATGGCAAACTAGAAAATAGCACTTTAACACATCCGTTTCGGATGCTACCACTTGAACTGTTTCTGAGGGGAAACCCTATTGCAAGAAAGATTCCCCACTCAACCTACCTTGTATGAAAGGTAGAGGTTACAGTGAATGAATTAATTAATTATTGTCCTTTCATGAAAGACTGTTGAATATAAATCAGTTTCTTGTTGTGTTTAGAAAAACATTCTTGTAAACTGACATGAAAACACATCTACGGTTCACCTTCTGGATAGGAATGAGAACCTGTAGGCTAGAGGATGTAGACTAGGCCTATAGTGGCTATCAGAGTACATGAGGAGGTGGGGGTTGCCCCTGAAACTGATTTTAGGCACATTACTCTAAACTCTGAAAGAATGTATGGGCTTTCTCTTTCCCTCCATCTGCTGTTGTGCTCCTCTACAGGAGAGGAAGAAAGACCTGCACCCGCCCGAACCTCCTCCTTCTGAATGCCTACTTCATATTAGGTTACTTTCTACAGTCACATGGCCTGCTCACTCCCAAGTTACACCAAACATCTATAGTAAAAACTATATCTGTAAACGCTACTCAAGGGTGGATAATTCCCGCCCCAATAAAATTCTACACCCTTGGTGGCTGATTAGTGTTCTGAGGGGGTTGGCAATTTTTTGCAAAGGTGTGCCACAGACCGTGTAAGTAAGGGAAATCTACCGCGATAGATTAGTCGCCATAAATTTTGTCACTTTTACATGCATGCATTTTGTCGTCAGCTGAAATGTGTTTAATTGATAGAAATATGTAAAACTTCAAAAATTAGAGTGAATGTCATTTGTTGTGTGTTTTTGAAAATATCCACTAACTACACTGGACAGTAACTTTTTTTTAAAATAGACATTTATTGGAGAGTAAGATATTGTATGATATGTACTGCCATAAATATTTAACACTGGATGAATCAGACAGCAGTGCTCAGAAAGGTCTAATCAAGGGGTTTTCAAAGTGTGAGGCGGGACTCCCTAGGGGGGCGTTTCAGGGGAGGCTCAGTGAACAGAAGTGAAACAATATTACATCACTTATTGCATTAGTTATCAAAAGGAGATCACATAAAATAGCCTACATGTGTGAGTTCAGAGATACAGTAGTTTTTGGGAACTGTTTGCCCCCCATCAGAAACTAATAAATGCCATAGGACTGACCTTTTTTAAAAACTATTTGGTGTAGTCAGAAGTTATGTTAAACAGCAGTATTATGCTATTTTGGTTCAAATGTTGAGTGTCTATAGGATCAAATAATATAATCATCAGCATTGAGCGAAACTTACCAAGTAAACTAAAGATGTGGTGGTGGGGCGATTTGTCTGATTTGCCTGCAGTCTCAGACTTTGAAAACCCCCTGGTCTAATCAGCACTGACCAAAGGAGAGTGACTCAGTGACTCAGACTGTCTGGTGTGGAAAACATTACCAGATGCTGTATCAGTGTGGTGAACTGCAAAGTCGACATAAATTCTGTCTTTTGATATTGGGGGGAACTAAAATTAAACAAATGCTTTTTTTTCTATCAGCAGGAAAACATTTAGGGACATGAAAACTGAAAATGCTCAGGAGAAAGCTGACTTGTTTGCAGTAAAGAAAGTGAAGCTTCTAAAACTCCTTCACATGCAAGTAATGGTGTGGAAAGGAAATCTGGGTGAGGGTGTGAGGTAGTGCAGAGCTCCAGATGATCTCACAGTCTTTAGAGGACTCCTGCATTGCTCAGAACAGAACATTGAGTCATGGCTGTTCTCAAGATGTGGACAATTTTGTACAAATAACAAAGCATAAACACCAGGGGTGCGTTTACCCCTTTACCTTCAACAGTGAGTCATCCTCAATTCACCACAATGCTGCTGCAGAATATGGGCCAGTGGCAAACAAAATACCAGCAGCCACTTTGACAGGTGTTGCTGTTGTGGAGATTTTACACATAATCACATCTGATGGTGTTTTTTACATAAGCACACACAGCAAAATGCAGAGAAACAATGTGAGAAAAGATAGCTTTCCCTGCTAGAAATATCATGCACCGAAATAGTTTAAAGATGAACTGCTGGCTACCTCTGCCCATCTGGATCACTACAGCTGACACTGAGCAGCTTATTATGGAGTGAAAGCTAATATGTTTGTGTGTTAAGAATTGTACATTTTTGTATAGAGGATGTCAGCAGAGGAAAGGCCTTGTTATAATCAAAATCAAAACAGCTTTTCCCAATGGGAGCATAAATGTGTGGGATATTTTTTAGTGAACTGCCTATTGTGAAATTGTTTGTGTGTTATGACATTTTCCTCTTGGTGGTGCTACAGCAAAGGCCAACAGTCGTCATCCCCCATTCATCCTATTCAACATATAAGCACCAAACTGACCAAAGGATGGTCAAAAAGGAGTAGTTTGACATATTGGGAAATGCACTCATTCACTTCATTCATTTTTTGTCAATCTACAAATATAACTTCTACTGCATGCTACTTAGCTTAGCAAACATACTAGAAACAGCTGACATGGCTCGGTCTAAAGTCAAATAAATAAGGATAGCTGTGCATTTGTTATGATTACATAACTTCAAAAACTAGCGAGTAAAAAACTTTGCTAACACAGCCAAACATTTTGCAGCCTTTTATTTCATGAAGCTCTTGCTATCATCCGAGAGCATCCTGCTTGGTCACTCTCTTTTCCTTTTCTTAACTTCCTCTGTTAATGTCCTCTTCAGTCTCTATATCTATGCCATTATCTAACGTTATGTCCAGAGGCTGCTGAGCCCGGTTATTTTGCCCGCTCGCCCGGCCTTGTCTCGACACCAGCGCCTCTGTGTACCAGCAGCATCACAATGTTACTTGAAACTTGGGTGGCAAGCTAGCCAACAAAGCTCAACAAGACTGACAGCACTTACAGTAACGTTAACAATGTCCGAATGTGTTATCTAGTAAGGTCTCATATCATCAAAGATTAACCTCTGTCTGTGAAACTTCTGGACGATTTCGACAACTTTCAACACAACACATGCCAGCCAGCTAATAAGTTATTACTTACTAGTCCAACAGAAAGGAGGCCAGCTCAGCATCTGTCCTGCATCTTTTCAGCTTTTAGCTCGATACTTGTTCTTGCCCAGTTGCTTGCTCCTCACCCTCTCTTTTTCTCTTCCTCGCTTCCTCCGACATCCTCTTCGGTCTCTTTGCAGCCTCTGCCATGATATCCATACTGAGAATACCGAGCTAGCTTCTTCCAAAGAACTTATTTTGTACATTATACACTCTTTGCTTCTTGCTTGCTTAAGAGTCTTGTTGAAGTGTTGTAGTGCTGTAAAGCATTACGCTGTTCTCGCAACAGACATCCTGCCCGGGATTTCAACGTGGTGCCATAGAATGCTCCCCTGGCCAGAGCAGCAGTGATAGATACATCATTCACCCGATTACAAGTCAGTGAACCATGAAAATGATTTTTATTTTTATTAATTGCTTATGTCCTGGAATATTTCTTGGCTGGGATAACCCCTAGGAAAATGGTAAATTGTCACTCTACACTTTATTTCTTCTGTAAGGATCAAACACACAAAATAAAATATGTTCATTACTGTAATGTTATGTAGCCGTAGAGGTGCTGATTGGTCGATTTTGTTACCTTTAGACAGAGCCAAGCTTTCCCCCTGTTTACAATATTTATGCAGTTATTTTGATCTACATTTTTTGGTTGAACTTATTCTCCATAATAACCTGTAGCCTTCATATAGCCTGTCATGCAGCCTGTTGTGCTGCATTAGCCTCCGAATGTGTAAAGCCTTTTAAAGAGGCAAGATAATGTTACACTTAATAAAGTCTAGTTTTAGTTAAACTGATGATGAACATGTCAAAACCTTTTTAGGGCACTAAGCTCAGTATAACAGAAATACTTGTCTGTAGTGTATAAAGCTATGCTATTGTTCATCCTCACTTGATCATATGCAGAAGTTCTCCAAATATTTGTTTGCCACGTAACAATATTCATGACAAACGCACATCATCATATTCTTCTGTGAAACACAACCCTATAGTTATCAGACAACTGTGCATGTTCACCACCCTCAAATTATAGAGGCTTTAAACTTGTGAAGTAGTGAACCTACACATCGAGCTGTAAATGTTCCCATGCATCTAATTTGAATAAATGTGGTAAAATTGGAGTCGGCAACTGAACTTTTATTTATGTGAATAAACAATTAACCAGTCTTGTCTTTTTCTGGATTTGTTTATTATACATGTATTTAAGTCTTTACAATTATTATCACAGAATGGCGAGTCAAGGATTTCTTCATCATTTATTGATCACCCCGACCTCCACCGCGACCTCCGCCACCACCACCACCACCTCCGCTACCACCACCACGACCTCCACAACCAACAGGTTTGTCTTTCATTTCTTGTCCTTTTGCTTCTTTTTTCCCTTTAACCTGTAAACAACCACAAGAACAGATTATGTTTGTATCTATATATGTATAGTTTTAATTCAAAAAGGTTGTAAAACTCCTCCTTCCTGTAGAAGAAAATGGAAAATGAACACCAGAGCACTGCAGAGTTACTGAATCAGCCAGTGAGACAAAACGTATGAAGCACTGTTCAGGAAGATGAAAGATGACTTACTCCATCTGATTCAGATGTTAAGTGTCCTTCCGTTGCCTCTGGCTTCTTTCCCTTCCCGTCCTGAAAGGGGAAGCAGCTTTTTGAGTACACGTTTTCATGCTGTTAGTCACAGGTCTAAAGCACTGTAAGGAAGAAAACTGACTCACCTTTTTGCCAGCTGTGATAGAAAGACAAAAAACAAAGTCAAAAATGTGCAAACTGACAAAAAAAATTACACATGAACTAAAACCAAATGTATCAAAAAAGGTTGCAAATGGACGGTTGACATGAAAATGCGATTTTAGTTCAATTTAAGCCAATGGTGCCTTTAAAAAAATTATGATCTTATTGCACCACGGAATAAAAAAATCTCAACATAGACAGTGTGCTTTTCCTATTGTTTAAATTATCTTTGACAATGAACACAATTGATTTACTTTCAGTTGTTGTGTGAAGTACTGTATTTGTATTCCTGGGAATACTAGCGCTAAATCACGGCAGGGGATGGGGGGTCATGCCCCCTCCCCCAATAGGCTATATGAAATATGGAAATTTTTATTAACCAGTCATCAAATGTCTCTAAAAGCTAAAAGGAAGCTTCTCCCCTCGATATTCGGTGTTAAACTGACTCCAAACACACTGGATGCTCGATACACAACAGCTGTGCAATGCTAGCGAGCACGTGCCAACATTTTGGTCTACCACGCAGGTAAAACACAGGATGTTTAAATCGCAGCACCACTGATGTACATGTTAAATACTAAGCAGTGTGTCACTGTTGCTGGTGGTTTACACATCTGGTCAGGTGTTTTTAATATTACATAGGCTAATATATTTTCAATCTATATTTAGCCGCCCCCCCAACAGAAGGTTTGACCCTCGGTTAAATAACAAAAGGAAATAAGCCATTAAAAAATTAAAAGCAATTATTATATTATGCCAAACACCAAACCCTAAGGTGAGATTGGAGCTACTAACCTACTGCTGACCTACTCTCAAATGTGCAGTAAACCAAGTGAAGTACAACATGCAGTCAAAATCTGTGCACACATAATTAAAGAGACTTACGTTCACTCATTTTTTCTGTGCAGAACAAAGTTTTTCCCTGGGAAAACAAATGAAAAGAAGGCTTTTTCAAATCTGAATCATTACATTACACTTGCATTACAAATAATCAGCAGTACCCATTACATACCCGGTGCAAAAATCAAGGATTGTGTCTAATGTGTGTGTTTAGTTTGTATTTATAAGGGGCCGTATGAGACGACGTGGGTGTGTTAGTACTGCATACAAGTTGTGAAATGCTGTGACGGATGTAGGACAGGTAAGCTTGTGGGTGTGGTCAGTCAGTGTTTTTCCACCTGAGATCAACTGACAGTTCCACCTCTAAACATTAATATAAGGACATTCACAGACACTTGAGAGCAGGGGCGTAACCAGAGGGGTGTCTGTGATTAAAACTGGCCCACCCTTAAAATTGTTCTGAATTGCCAAATCTTTTCTCCGAAAATCACCTTCAGGCACAGCAATTTTCTATTTGCTCAACAGTGTATGTTGTAGGGGAAACGTAACATGCTGCCCGGATTACATTTTAAGTCTCATGCTGCAACAGATTTCTAGCATGAGACAGGAGGCACATTCCAGCAATATTATAAAAGCCACACTGCTGCCTGTACTAGTGCCGAAAATTTCCCGGTGATCTTAAAATCTTTCTTCAAATTACTGTGGCCGTGTATGCACTTAAACGCCTTGGAGGCAGGGCTGCATTTTAGTCTTACATGTTACTAGTAAGGGATCATTGTTATATATTTATTTGATCATGCCTCATGGTAAACTTGTTTGATGCAAACAGGTTATGAAGGGTACAGTAGGCCTACAGTAGCATAACTGTGGATTAAACAAATGTTACTAATAGGGCTGTCCCCGACTAAGGGATTTACAAAGTCGAATCAGAATCAAGTCAAGTTCTGCCTATTGTCGACTGATAGCTGAATCATGTGAGTTTTTGTGCACGGCCGAAGCTAAACTGAGGCTTATTGACCATTTTCTCTCTCTCTCGCCTGCCATTCACCAGTCTTGAGTTTTTGCCGTGTTGTTGACAACTGCATGCACGTCGCGGTTCCTCACGGTTCTATTTATTGTTTAAAAACGATATAATATTTGTGTGGTTCATCAACGGTGATAAATAACCCGAAAGTCCCGCGAGGTGCGGACAACTCCGCACAACACCATTGAAGGTGGGACTCCATCTTCAGCAAGTGTTCCTCCTGCCACTACACATATACATGCTACGCCTACTCATGCGCACTGACGACCCAGGGTTAGGGTTAGAATTTTGGATTTATTCACGCACTTTAAAAACATTTATTGGAAGTTTTTTTTTTCTTTTTACATGTTTATTTACAGCATTAAACGTCAATATATATATTGTAATAGGCTGTACATTTACTTATTGGGAGAAAACTGGTAGTTCTATGGAAAATCAGACGTTGAGCACCCCCATATCGCCAAAATGGAATGATCCTTGTTTCGCTGTGAAGCTTCGACTGTGAAATTGACAGTTGAAACAGGCCCCGCCTATCGAAGCATCGACTCTTCGACTATTTGGGGTCAGCCCTAGTTACTAAGTAGGTTTATTTGTCAGACAATGTACAGTAATAAAAAAGCAATTATAAAAATGGTAAGCAGAAATAAACTATATTCAGCAGAGCAGTGCTGAGGATGAATTTGCTTGGGGGGAAAAGCTGCTCTGCAGTCTGGTGGTGCAGCAGCAGAAACTAATATATCTCTTCCCAGAAGGCAACAGGGTGAACAGGCTGTGGATGGGTGGGTGCTGTCCTTTAGTATCCTTTGGGCTCTGCGTATGCACCTCACCAGACCTGTCCTTTGTTTATTTATTTTTAAATTTGAAAACATGATGACCTTTTACCTGATGACCCCATCTATGACAAGCCCTGCCATTCAGACCAGACACCTTTAGTGATTCAGCAGCTCTGCCTACAGGACACCTGCGATTCCGCCGGTAAGAGGGGTTTGCCGCAATGTGCTTGTTGTGGGCTTGGGTTGGATGTATTTTACTGATACTGCCTGGACTGCATCAGTGTTCGAAATGTTCAAAAAAGGACCTTGACTCTATGGAAGCTGATTCGGCATATTGGACTTGTGCATGCCCACGAACCTCATTTCAACATAACTTGTGGGATAAGTTACTGCCAGTCGGCTTTTTCCAAGTATCATTCTTTTTGGCGGCATGTTAATCGTAAAAAACAAAAACAATATTTGTAATGCTCTGAATCACCTGAAGAAACATCCGAAGAACTAGTTGAACACACAAGCAAGTTTTGTCTACATCAGATTTTTTCAGAAAGCATGCGATTCAATTGGGTCACCATACATAATAGAAGAACACTGCAAATCAAAAATGGACTTGACAGAACAAATCAGTTACGCTGTAAGAGACAATGCAGGATTGAAAATTGGTACTTAAGTTCCAATCACACAGCTATTAAAAAATATTGCTGTGTAGATGATGTGTGGGAACAGGTTGTTTTGGATAACCACAGAAACTGAGATGATGATGTTCTGACAGACTATGGTGATGGCATGTACTTTAGAGCACTCATTTTTCAAAGATAATCCTCAAGCTCTAACACTTCATTTTTATGAAGATGAATTTGAAATTGTAAACCCACTTGGAGCTAAAAGAAATAAGTATAAAATCTGTGCTTTTTATTATACATTTGGGAACATAAGTGGAAAATATCGCTCAAAGTTGAGTCACATTCACTTAGCTTTAATGGTTCACCATTCACATGTGAAAGAGGGCTTGAAAGTACTATTACAACCCTGACCTTAAGATGCTCTCCACAGAGGGCTTCACTTTCAGTCTTAATGAAGTAGAGCACACGATTAAAGCTGCTCTAGCAACTATTTCATGTGAACAGCATCTCTGCTCATATGATTGGGCGGTTGTCTTTCAATGGTCAAGTCAAGTCAAATTTATTTAAAGTGTAAAATCACCAGCTGTGTGGTTCCAGTACACTTTACAGAAAACAGAGACACATAAAGATTGCAGAATTGGATAAAAAAGGCTGACAACACATAAGATACACACACTAAAAACAATAAAATCCACAATTATAAAACTAATAATAAACTAGAACCGCCAGCCGTACCCCCTCGCCCAGCGGAGGGCGCGTGAGTTGACCCGGGCGCTCAGCCGTGGCTTCGGGGACCCGCGACAAATAAGCGACCAGAGTTTGACATCAAAGGGACTTGCGGTTACGGAGATATAAAATGAATGTATGTCTATGGTAGTGGGATTTCATATACGATTAACAGCGGCGTCTAGATTCACACCAAATGGTTCTGAATGCAGCAGAGGTCTGGTTTTTGATCAGCCCAAAAGGACGCATGTCACTCCATTGCTGTGTGACCTCCACTGGCTACTCATGGCTTCCAGAATCAGATTCAAGTCACTAATGCTTGCATACAGAGTGACTACTGGGTCTGCGCCCACCTACCTAAACTCCATAATACAAGTTTACGTTCCTTCTCGGGCCACTACGCTCCTCCAACAAAAGCCGCCTTCACACAAAGCAATCCCAGTCCCGGCTGTTCGCATCTGTGACACCACGATGGTGGAACGAGCTACCACATGCCATCAGAGCAGGGGCGTCCCTCTCTAACTTCAAGAAGCTCTTGAAAACTCATCTCTTCCGAGAACACTTATAACACCTCTAACTCCTAACCTCTAACATGCACTTCCTGTGCTCTTCTTCTTCTGTCCCCTACAATTATCTTGTGTTGATTGCACTTTTTAACTCTAACTTCTTTCCCTACGTATTCCCATTGATGCGATATGTGCCATTAGCGCTTACTAGTATTTATTACTGCTTTTATTAATATGTATTGTCAGTTGTAGATCTCGTGCTGTATTTTATGCTTTGTTAATGATTGTATGTTGTTCCTCAAATGTACGTCGCTTTGGATAAAAGCGTCTGCCAAATGAGTAAATGTAATGTATATGTAATTGTCGGTGACAAGTTTGGTGCCGATCGGACTTGCCGCTTCGGAGGAATTAATTAAAATAGGTTTTACAGTTTTCGCAATTTAGCCAAATGAAAACGTCATCGCACAGAGGCGTGTCCTATACCATACGAAACGGCAGTATTCCCCAAACACGTAGACATAAGGTTTATGAATGTGCGACGTAATGGCGCGTAGTTATGAGGCAAAATGTGCCCTCAGGGGGGTGTCCCACATTATTGCTCCAAATTTGGTATGATCGGCCATTCTAAACGTAAAATATGACATCACTTCCCGCAAACATTTGTTAGCATATAATTGCAACATTTTTTTGTCAGATCAAAATTTCCTCTGCAGACTTTTATCAGCTTGGTCCAGAGATTATCCGTACCAAATTTGGTGTAGATCGGACATGTGGCTTTGGAGGAGTTAATTAAAATAGGTTTTTCAGTTTTCACGATTTTGCATGGGTCATCTGTATCTGTTAATGTTGTCAAATATGCCCTTGGGGATGTTTTTGTTGTAGGTCATGTACACACAGAAGCCATCCCTTCATTCTTGAAAATTCAGTATGTTGAGACTTTTTGGGTGTTGTGTGGGAAACTTATTTCCTTGCTCTTTTGACAATCATTTCCACGCTTACCGTGTCACAGTTAACAGACAACGGTTGGTTTGGGTTTCATTGAGGTATTCTGTCTAAATATGTTGAATTTTTTCCTGTTCATACAGACGGGGGACAAATCGAAGGAGTATAAAAAGTGTCTATTGTTCAATGTATCCTGTAGTTTCACATTGGGGTTTAGGTAGAAGTGTTATATCAGTGGATGTTATAGTGTTATAATTAACAGTCAAAAAGCAATTATTGTGTAAAGAATTCTGGTACATTTGTCTCCTTAAAATCCAGAATAGCTTTTCGCTGGGGTGGTGCCCTTAATAGGACATATTACCCTTTAAATGGGTACATTATCGTACTACTGTATATACAGTGGGGCCAAAAAGCATTTAGTCAGCCACTGATTGTGCAAGTTCTCCTACTTAGAAAGATGAGGTCTGTAACTTTCATCATAGGTTCTAAAAAGTTCTATTTTGGTTTCATCCATATGCTCTCTGGCAAACTTCAGACGGGCCTGGACATGTACTGGCTTAAGCAGGGGGACACGCCTGGCACTGCAGGATTT